TGTTCATACTCGAGTTTTCAATTGGAGGCTTGAGATTCAGTTACAGGGAATTATATGATTATGAGAGATACATGAGATACACAGATTTCATACAGGATTCCTAGGTCATGTCAAGAATTATAGAACAATGTATATAGTTGATCAGGTGCTCAGAAAAATATAACAGTGTTTGCACAGAGACTTCAACAGGGTGAGATCAATGACAGAGGACTAAAAGTTTAGCAAATAATGGGGAATATATTGCGCTATTAGTCAGAAAACAGATTTCCTGCAGAGAAAGTTCTAGATAAGATATTATACTAGGACTTTCCTATTATTCATTTAGGATGGAGTTGAATTTACCTTGTAGTTTGACTAGTAAGTTAACCTAACTAGCTTATACTGCAAGGAGACATACAAAGTCAAAGTTCAGTAAATTCTAAACTAGGTTACTTAGTAATTCACAAAAGTAAGAAGGGGTAACAGAAATTTAATTAGTGATCACAAAGATAAGACTTTAAATACTAGATTGTAGTGCAAAAACTGGGGTACACTATGTTAGAGATATTCAACTTCTGTGACGTTCCACCTTCTTACTTGTCCTCTTTTATACATTTCTGACATCCCCTTCATCTAAGCTATCTATACATACCATCCCCATCCTCTAACTCTTCCTATTCATCCTTCCACCCAATGCCACTTCTACTTTGTAGTTTCTGCTTCACTTTGGACGCTTTGCCTGTTTCCTAATAAGGAGCTGTCTTCCCACAGCTCCGCTTTTCCCTGTACTTCGCTTTCCAGCATCTCTTTGCTGCTTACATCGAAGTACAGGTTAGTACTAAGTTTCTATACCAATATAGGCTGCTTACATTGAAGTACAGAACTTCTGTCAGCTATCAGGTTGATCTATTCCCTGGTTTTAACACACTAGTGAAAGACTTATGTTGGGTGATTCCTTATATGCACAGTAGCTAAGTCAAGCTCAGTGTATCGAGTGAAGCTACAGTTATGCACAAGTTAGAAATCTGGCTACTACCAGCCTCAGTGGCTAACCTTAAGGGTCAAGCCATAATTAAGTAATTATTAGCTATACAGTAGAAGCCCAATATATCTAATGTCTATATATAGTAATCAAGAAATAGTGCCCTTACACTCTTCCCCTTTAGATGAGTAACTAGAGACTCTAATAATGAGTCAATAGTCTTTTGAGTTGATATGGTCAATTAGTAGAATTGACGATAAGTAGTGATTGAGTCAACTAAGAAGTTGACGATGATTAGGGTGAAGGTATCATAGATACTGTATGGTCTAGAAAAATCAACAAGTGACAATGATCTTCATCGTTTAAGCTATAGATCATAAAGTGATTCATGACAGTGAAGTCTGAGAGTTTATCACTGTGCAGGTTAATGATGGATGCATCAACAATAACAGGAATAAACCCTCTATGCTTCTGCCAGTGCAGAGTCAGGCCTTGGATGACTTCAAGTATAGTCGACAGTTATCAATGATCTGAACAAATTCTTCATAGGCACCTCAGGTCATCCCCTAAGGGGGGCTATTAGCCCTATCTATGCCACTTGGGGGATGTGGCTTAGAGCCTAGGTTCGATACTGGTCACTTTTTGCCTATGGGTGCCATGGTCACTCCTGCTCACTCTGATAGTGACCAGATGCTCCGTTTCCATCTGCCCTTATATAGTGACCATGGGCACCTATGGGTTCTGACTATAGACATTATGCACAATTGAGGAGTGTCAGGGGTCTTTGTTCCATTGTATCTGCAATTTGGCTGGATGGCTTTTCACTGTGATTGCTGTTACAGTCAATGTAGTGATTGCTATATACTTTCATATTATTTATCACTACTCTCTGCATATGTCTGCCTGATGGCAAAATATAAAAATTATTGAAAATTGACTATATGTGAAATTTTCAGAAGTAGTCATTGAATAGTACAGTACTTTACAATACAGCATGAAAGCATTTACACTAATGGAGACTATTGCAAGCACTGTGGTAAATCACTTTGTTCAGACTTGATATAATTGTCATAATGATGTTCAATGTAACAATATCATATAATGTTCAGCATTAGCATACTTAAATTGGATATAAGATTCAGATGTGATATAATGTTGCATAGTGATAGATGGCAAGGTGTTTAGATATCTCATATTATGAGATCATATCCAATTATGTGAGCAGCATATTAAAAATTGCACATGGAGATCATACAAGCATGAAGATCAAATACATTGGACTGCATAAAATTGGTAGTCTAGCATATTGTGCTTAAACTGAACCATACATATGAATTCTTCATCTGCTGATACATGTACTTACCCTCTATTGGCAGCATACTATACATGCCCAATGTAGTTATTGACCATGGCTGATGAATAAAAACCATAATGGCCATAAGGACTGTTGATTTATTGCAAAGAAACTATGATCACTAGTACAGCACATGCCATATGACTGGGCCACTAATTGATTAGGATTAGAATCAGAATGGTCACTGATAGTGGATACAGTTTATGCCCTGGTCACTATGAATATGATCAGTAATGACCAAATGAATCATGGCATCACTGAGAGAAAGCCCATGGTCACTATGTGCAGAGGAGCAATGACAGGATCACTTACAGACTATTCTGATAAGCTTCATAGTCGCTAATGAACAGTACAATAAATAACCAGGGTCACTATCAACTGATATTGGAGGAACTGTGACCAATATCAGGAGATACAGAAATGACCGTGGTCACAATTGCATATACTATGATGTAATACATATATAATACACATCAGGGAGTGGTCAACTAGTGATCATGGGCATTACTGAATAAGGGACAGAATGACCATGTTGACTATTGCATGTCAGTATTAATGACCATGAGACCAAGTAAATTATAGGCAAGGATACAACCATTCAACTATGATAATGACTCCTGAATTATACAAGATAAGAGGCCAGTTTATCAAGGAAGTGACCATTTGTTACAACAATATTCACTGATTCACCTATGAGAATAATGCTATGCTTACAATTTGATGATTGAGAAGATACCTTATTTCATATACTCTTCATTGTGTCATAACCTCAAAGAAGATATCAAGGTTGCTATCTTGTGACAATATGCCTGCAGAAAGAAGCGATCATGAATACAACTCACTCATATACATGCCATGATCACTATGCATCTAATAGTGACCATGGCATCATTTCACCAACCTGCATAGATGCCATGATCAGTAGTGCTACAACCAGCAAGTGACTATATGTACTACTGACTAATAATGATACCTAGCATGGTCAATATTGAACCTCTGGTTAGTGACTATGGTTACTATTAATGAGCATTCTTACATTGCATGGTGACTATTGATGCATTGAGTAGTGACCTTGGCTACTATTGACTCCTACGCATATGTGCCATGGTCACTGTGCAATGAGTCAATAGTGACCCTGGCTGATTTAAATCAATATTTATAGACGCCCATGGTTAGTACTACATCATGGTCAAGTTGTGATAGTGACTAATGCCCTATCATGATACATGCCATGGTCACTATATATTAAATTGCTAGGACCAGAGTTAATACTGACTAACATGCATAGACTATTCATATAGGACTGAGTGACCCTGGTCACCAATTATTGAACTCCATAGATGCCAAGGTCACTATGCAGCTGAAGATAGAGTGATCATAGATGCCATGCATACTACATAGGGATTATTGGAGTGACTATGGTCACAATATGGTTACTGGTATGGATGACTCTAGTTATTCCATGTACATAGATATGCTTATGGTTGGATGATGGAAAAAGTGACTGCTTGCCATTTGATGAGAAATACTTGCACCATAGTCACTTCTAAGTTTAAATGAAATGATCATTATGCCTGCCAACTTGTACATGCTATCACACATCTGATGTTCCAACTATGTTGGCTAGCATTTATATCATGCAGTAGTTGTTACTGGATAGTTCTTGGTGCATCACAGCTGATACATGGTATAAGTCATCATAGCAAGTGATTAGTAGTTCTTGGTACAGTACTGAATATACTCACATGCAAATGTCACACAGTACTCATTATTGTTACTTGATCTTCATATGTTCATTCTACATGCCTCAACATATTTTTCAACTTCTCATATTTCTATGTTTCTTATTACCATGTATATCTATCAGTATCTGCTTCTGCATGGTGTCATACAAACCAAGGCATGCTATTAAGTAATGAGTAGAAGTTTGATAAATCTGTGATAGTTTCTTTTCATTCAAGGGGCTGGTATATATTCAACTCTGCTATATCTCTAATTTTCTGGACTGCTGTAAGGGCCAATCTTAGTGACCTCTGCTTGGACAGATTTATATGAACACATGGATATAGTGTACCTCTATTATATGGCCATAGTCACTATTTTGCTTGACCTAGTGACCGTGGTCACTATTTCAGATACATAGTGTGACCATAGTCACTATGGATGCTATATGTAGTAACCACAGGCATTGCTGTGATCGATATAGAATGACCATAGTTCCTCTATGCATGTGCAACTAATGACCATGGTCACCATTGCTGCTGTCATGGAGGTGACCATGGTCCTTCTTACAGATCATCTTGTGATCATGGGCATTGTTGCACTTCAATATTCTGATCTTGGCACTTGTGGTGTCATATCTCTTATGCCCATGGCCACTGTTGCTGTATATGAGTAATGATCATGGTCACTTTGAATTGAGGCTCATGGTATCCAAGACTTATCACATTACAAAACACACAAGATCAGCATTCACTAAAAACAAAGTCCCTAATATCCAGCATCATACTCATCATGGCCATACAGTGACTCACAAAACCCTTTCAATGTTTGTCAAATTTCACTTTCATGGGCAATATCTTCTCACTGAGAAAGAATATCAAAATGCTGTTATATAGGTCTGAAAGGCTAGTGTCTTGGCTCCAATTATCACTCTGGATCATGTGATTTGGTTTGGCAGAGATAGTTGAATTGCAAGAGGCACTACTTATTGAAAGGGTTTTGTTGCGCATCATTCTAAAGTCTAAAAACAAGACATTCTATATTTAGTGGGCCCTCCTTTGACTGCAATCACTGCCTCCATCCTCCTAGGCATGCTTCTAATTAGGTCCTGACAAACCTCCTTTGGTATAGCCTCCCATTCCTCCTGCACCCTCTCCCACAAATCCAATATGCCCTTGGGTGAATGTTTATAGCCTCCAAGCTTCCTCTTCAAGTGATTCCAAAGATGCTCAATGGGTTTGAGATCTGAAGATTGTGCTGGCCATGATAGAATGTTGAAACCATGATCATTCAACCACATCTTGGCCTTTTTTGAGGTGTGCTTGGAGTCATTATCCTGCTGAAAGATGATATCACCTGAAGTTTTGGTATAGTATGTCAGGGTTTTTTGAAGTTCATCCTCCAGAATCTGTGTATAGAGGCTGATCATCCATAGTGCTTCTAATCTTGGTCATGAATTCCACTCCCTCCCACAGCATGCACCCCCCACACCATGATGCTACCACCTCCAATCTGTTTTTAAGTCCCTCTCCCTTCTTTTTCCATACCCACTTTCTCCCATCTGCACCCAGGCAAGTGATCTTAGTCTCATCTGACCAAATAACCCTCTTCCAGTCATCTTCAGTCCAGTCCCTATGCTCCAAAGTGAAGTCCAGCCTATCTGCAATATAACAATCTAACAAAAGTGGCTTCTTGGGCTTGGTAACTGCTATCATACCTGCCCTTTTCACATGCCTACATATTGTCTGAGCAGAGACAGGCTGAGCTATGACCTTTTGGAGGTACTGGGCAACCTGAACAGCTGTGTCAACACACCCAGAAGTGATGAGGCATTGGGCATAATGAATATTAGAGGATGAAAGCTTCTGGGGGCAGCCACCAGTGGACTTGAAAAGGTCAGGGTGAAGTAGGCTGCAGAGTCTAGAGACAGTGGATGCACTGACATCAACAGTAGAAGCAATTTTGGTCCCAGAAATGCCAGAATCAAGAAGAGAGAGGATATGCTCAATAATAGCTCTGGAAATGCACCTCATGATGATGGTGGTTGGGAGTAAAGAGTGCTATAAGCGAGATTGATGGCCCATCAACACAATATATTGGCCACAGGAATTTCCACAATCATGTGAATGCTTATTTCTATAGAATTCTGATGGAAGAATGGTGCGCAACAAAACCCTTTCAATGAGTAGTGCCTCTTGCAATTCAACTATCTCTGCCAATTCTAAACCAAATCACATGACCCAGAGTGATAATTGGAGCCAAGACACTAGCCTTTCAGACCTATATAACAGCATTTTGATATTCTTTCTCAGTGAGAAGATATTGCCCATGAAAGTGAAATTTGACAAACATTGAAAGAGTTTTGTGAGTCACTGTAATCTGTATAATCACTATCACCATAGTCCTCGATGTCCATTATTTCCATACCATACCCTTGAGGTTGCTGACTTGAACCAGGCAAGAATTCTGGTACATAGCCATAGTATCCATACTCATATGAAGGGTAGCGAGGTGGGGAAAAATATGGACCTGGTGGAGGATACTGTACCATTAGTGCAACAATGTCTATGAGTCATCTCTTACTGTGCAGGAAGCCAAGGAAGGGCAAGAGCACCCCTGCACAGCAGTCAACTCATTTAGGAAGTTCATCAGTGGGCTCTGACACTTCTAGGGAGCCCAGTCAAATACCATCCGATGGCTCATTGTCAGGGGGAATCAAGCCGGGCACCATCAACATTTTTCCCTCAGGCCATTCCTGTTGAGGGCATCAGTGATCTTTCCTTAGACACACCTGTATGTGGACGATCCACAATCTCTTCTCCTGTTGCTACTACACCTCATCCAATATGACGCCAACCTCATGATACACCAACCCGGCCATCAATTCAGCATTTCACAGCATCTTCTGTTAAAACCAGGGAATAGATCAACCTGGTAGCTGACAGAAGTTCTGTACTTCAATGTAAGCAGCTTATATTGGTATAGGAACTTAGTACTAACCTGTACTTCGATGTAAGCAGCAAAGAGATGCTGGAAAGCGAAGTACAGGGAAAAGCGGAGCCATGGGAACACAGCTCCTTATTAGGAAACAGGCAAAGCACCCAAAGCGAAGCAGAAACTACAAAGTAGAAGTGGCATTGGGTGGAAGGATGAATAGGAAGAGTTAGAGGATGGGGATGGTATGTATGGATAGCTTAGGTGAAGGGGATGTCAGAAATGTATAAAAGTGGACAAGTAAGAAGGTGGAACATCACAGAAGTGGAATATCTCTAACACTCCCCCTCCTGATGTTGCACCTCTGCAACTCCCCCCTAATCCAAATCCTACTCCAAACCCATCATCCGTCTAAACTCCTCAACCTTGAGTCGAGCCAGTGACTTGGTGAGCATGTCAGCAGGCATATCGACACCAGCAAGGTGTGTGGGGGCAATGACACCAGCCTCAACGATGTCCTTGAGCCAGTGGTAGCGCAGATCCAGGTGTTTCATTCGACCATGGTGTTCTGGGTTCTTGGCAATGCTGACAGCAGAGAGATTGTCGATGAAGAGGGAGGAAGAGGATGGAAGAGTGTAGCCGAGTTCAGAGAGAAGGTTGCGCATCCAGAGGATTTCCTTCCCAGCCTCACAGGCAGCTATGTACTCTGCCTCAGTGGTGGAGAGAGCAACAATAGGCTGGAGCTTGGATGACCAGTCCACTGCTCCAGAGCCCACCTTGACCAAGTAGCCACCAGTGGAACGCATCCTGGGGAGCTCACCAGCATGATCGGCATCAGTGAAGGTCTGGAAGAGCTCATTCACCTTGGGATCTGGCCTGTAGGTAAGGCGCAAGTCCAAGGTGCCCTTGAGATAGTGGAAGAGGTGTTTCACTGCCTTCCAGTGTGCCAACCAGGGCTGGCATTGAAGCGAGCCAACTGGGACACTGTGTATGCGATGTCTGAGTGAGTACAAGTTGCCAGATACATCAGAGCACCCACAGCATTGATATAGGGCACACTGGACATCTCCACTCGCTCGTCAGGTATTTGAGCACCTTGTTCAGGCGAGAGGTGAAGTCCAGGTTCCATAGGCATAGACACTGGATTGCACTCACTGAAACCAAAGCGATCCAGGGTATTGATAATGTACTGGCACTGGGAGAGTGAGATGGAGTGGGCTATGCAGTCCCTGGTGATCTGGATACCAAGGAGGTAACTGGTGGGCCCAAGATCTCGAAGTTTGAAGTGCTTCTGAAGATCCTGGACAGTGGAATGGATGGCGGACTTGGAGTTGGCAGCAATGGTGATGTCGTCAATAAAAATGGGGATGATGATGCGCACATTGTCTCGAGCATAGATGTAGACAGAGGGATCAGAGCAAAGGCGAGTGAAGTCCATGGAAGCAAGGGTAGAGTGGAGTTTTTGGTTCCAGAGCCGGCCAGCCTGCTTCAGGCCATAGAGGGCCTTGATGAGGTGAAGAACTGTACCTGGTTTACCAGTGACAAACCCCTCAGGCTGAGCCATAAAGATCTCAGTGTTCAAGTCACCATTGATGAAGGCCTGAGAGATATCCAGGAAGTGCAACTCGAGGTCTTCAGTGGCACAGAGGGCGAGGACAGTCCTGATGGTGGCCATATGCACTGTGGGAGCAAAAGTTTTGACATAGTCGAATCCAGGTCGCTGGTTATACCCCTTGGCCACAAGGCGAGCCTTGTAGCGCTCCAGAGTTCCATCAGCATGGCACTTGGTCAAAAACACCCACTTGGAACCTATAGCCCTCGATCCAGGAGGTAGCTCACATGTCTCCCAAGTCCCATTGGCAATGAGGTTGTTGAACTCTGTAAGTGCAGCTTCATGCCACTGGGCGGCCTCAGGTCACTTCATGGCTTCTGCATAGGTCAGAGGGTCGGCCTGGCGAGTGGAAACAGCCATGGCAAGCTCTGGCTCATCGTCCTCATCATCACTGGGCTCAGGAGAAGATGGCTTGACCTTCCACCATTCGCCTGGAGCCTTACCAGCTGTAGATCTGCCTGTGCGTCAAGCTGGAGGCTGAGGCTGAGGTTCTGGAGGTGGTGAAGGTGTAGGTGAAGGTGCAGGTGGAGGTGAGGGTGATGGAGGTGGAGCAGAGGCAATCCTAGGAGCGGCTGAAGGTGCAGGAAGACCAGAAGGATGGGCTTGATTGCGAGTGCGAGAAAGACGTCTCTGGGCAAGAGGTCGATTGTCTGGAGGAGGTGCAGCAGGTGCTGGAGGTGCAAGTGCTGGAGGATAGTCAGCAGGCTCATCCTGAGCAGGTGCCAGGACCACTGCAGGAGGAAGAGGCACTACAACCTCCCCCCCAGGATGAGGCACTGGCACATCATCCTCATCTGCAGGGTCAAACCAGGGCACTATGCTGGCAGAAGAGGGAGCCGAAGGTGAAGTTGGTGGGAGAGGAGGGTGGGGCAAAGAAGGTTGCTTCTTGAGTTCAGGGTAGAACCGTTCGTCAAAGTCAGCACGTTCAGAGATGACTACCTTCTTAGTGACCGGGTTATAGAACTTCCAACCCTTGTAGCCCTCTGGATATCCAATGAAGACACACTTCTCCATGTGGGGTCTGAGGTGGGAGTGCTTGTCCTTTTGGATATGGACATAAGCGGTGCAGCCGAAGACACAGAGGTGAGAGAGGTCGGGTTTCTGTCCAGTCCAGCCTTCGTATGGGGTGATCCCAGAGAGAGAGGAAGTCGGACAGTGGTTGATGACATGGACAAAGGCATTGAGAGCCTCTCCCCAGAACTGGCATGGTAGGTTAGCCTCGGTAAGCATGCAAGTGATGTGCTCCTGGAGCAGGCGATTGAAGTGCTCAGCAGTACCATTCTGCTAAGGCCGGTTGCGCACTGTATGGCGGCGCACAATGCCATGCTCTATACAGTAAGCATCCATCTCCTTGGACATGTACTTGCCTCCCTTGTCATCCTACAGGATCCCAATCCTGAAGCCCTTGTTGCGCACATAAGCATGGTAGAGCTTGAAGGCATCAAACTGTTGAGACTTGGTTTTCATCAGCACAACCACCCGGTACTTGTACTTGCCGTCAATGTACGTGACCCAGTAGCGGAAGCCACCAAAGGTCTGGACATCAACAGGACCATGGACATCTGAGTGGACGATACCGCAGGTGGTGGAGACAGACGAGGTCGAAGATGGGAAGGGATTGGCATGCATCTTTCCAGATAGACATGGCTCACAGATGGGATCAGGTGTTGCTGATGACTCAAGCTTGATACCAGTGGCCATCTGATGTGAAATCAGCATCTTAACACTGTCTAGACCATGATGGGCAAGACGGTGATGCCAGAGATCGAGTGTGAGAGGAAGGGTGGACAAGGAGGCGGTGTTGGCATAGAGAGTGATAGGGAGGACCTCTCCAGCAATGTAGACAGTGTTAGACTCATCTATAGGGGCATAGAAAGCGAGTTCACCCTTGTGTTTGAAGTCCATACGTCGACCATGAATGTGCACATGAAAATGATGAATTTGTATGAGGTATAGGACAGATAAGAGATTGCTCTTTAGTGCAGGGACATGCAGGACTCGACTAAACTCCACAGTATGCAACCTCTGACCCCCAGAATGCAGCACGAAGCGCACAGAACCCATTCCAGCGGTGTAGATGATGGTGTTGTTGGCAAGATGAATGGGGATGTGACAGGGGGTGTAGTTGCGAAGCCAGTGGTGATGAGGAGTCATATGAGATGTAGCTCCTGTGTCTGCAGTCCAATCCATGTTAGCATCGAGCTGGAGGGGTGCAGTGAGAGAGGAGGGGTCAAGACTTGCACTTCCAGCAAACTCAGAGGTCTCCCCGGATGAAGATGGCTCATTCTTAGCAGCATGGGCCTTCTGGGGACACTTTCTACCACCCTGCTGACACTCCTGATGCTTCTCCTGGGCAGATTTCATAGTGGCAACCTTGGCTTCGCGAAAGCGGAAGCAGGAGTCGATGGAATGACCTGGGAGGGAGCAGAAGGCACAGATGGAGGTAGAGGCCGATGCAGAGAGTGCCGAAGCGGCAGGGGAAGCCTCAGACTTGACACGGCACTGCTGGGTGATGTCCTCAGTGATGAAGGCCTGCAGCAGAGTGTCTTTGTTCAGCGTAGAGGTGATCTGGATAGAGGTGGTGAGGTTGTTGTACTCATCTGGGAGAGCACGAAGCATAGCCATGCATGCAAGCTTGTCGTCCAGATCCTCGATGGTGAAGCCCTTGGGTCGAAGATTTTTGATCCTGGTCATGATCTGGTTGACTCTGGTGGACAGATTGGCCAGAAATTCATCCTCACGCTTCTGGGTGGCAAGGAGGTCGTCATAGGCATTGAAGCGAGCACCTGGGTGCTGCTGGAGGTGCACAGAGGCGAGTTTGGTCCACATGGCAACAGGATCATCATCGATTCCAACCAGGTGCTGTCTCTGGTCCAGTTCCACAAGGAGGAAGAGCTCACCAGATGCTTTTTCAGCTCTGACATCCCATGCATCCATAGCAGCTCAGCCACACTAACAGCCTTCTTATCGGCCGCCTCAGGCCTCTTCTCCTTCCCAATCACCAATCTCCATAACCCCTTACGCTTCAGGGTAGCTCCAACTTCTCCAGACCACTGGGGGTAGTTGCCAGAGGTCAGGAGCTTGACCTTGGGGTAAGCAGAGTCCTCAGACATGATGAAAGCGGCCAAAAGGGCAAGAATGCGATGTTGGAGAGGAAGTAGTGGATGGATCAAGATGGATGTTGGTAGATGGGGGCTTTAGAGGGTGCTGAAGAAGATGAGACTAAAAGCAAGAGTGGATGGCAAGAATTGCAGTCAGGGGAGGCTGGAAAGCGAGCAGATGAAGCAGATGTAGGCAAATCTAGGCAGAGATTAGAAGCCGGGGCCCATAACCTGTTAAAACCAGGGAATAGATCAACCTGGTAGCTGACAGAAGTTCTGTACTTCAATGTAAGCAGCTTATATTGGTATAGGAACTTAGTACTAACCTGTACTTCGATGTAAGCAGCAAAGAGATGCTGGAAAGCGAAGTACAGGGAAAAGCGGAGCCGTGGGAACACAGCTCCTTATTAGGAAACAGGCAAAGCGCCCAAAGCGAAGCAGAAACTACAAAGTAGAAGTGGCATTGGGTAGAAGGATGAATAGGAAGAGTTAGAGGATGGGGATGGTATGTATGGATAGCTTAGGTGAAGGGGATGTCAGAAATGTATAAAAAAGGACAAGTAAGAAGGTGGAACATCACAGAAGTTGAATATCTCTAACAGCTATGCTACAACATTCTACATAATCACTATAGTGAAAGTTTTACTCAAATTGTTTCAGTGCATAAGAAAAGTGCTGGTGCCTACCACTGACAGTTTTTTTGGCTGTCACTGTATATGTAAGGATAAAGAGTACCAATCTATCTCTTTTGTACTCATCATTACTTCCGTTATTAGAATATCTTGATGGAGAATCTACAGGTGACTTTCTTTGATAAGGACATTATAGTGCCAACTACCTGTGTCTTTGAAGTTATAGTGATAGTTATCATTGTAGTTATTGGGCTACAGTTCAAATAGTGTCATGAAGGTCAATTCAGTAGTAGTATAACAGAGACAGTTTGAGTCTCAATGATGCCTTCTTCTTTTGACACTGTAGAATTTATGCACTTACTTGTCTTGTCACTTATTTATATCCTCATTTGTTATATCAATTATATCACTCTTTTCTTGGAATATGTGTATTTAGAATGTAAAAGATTCATCTACTGTATATACTTTGGTATATATAAAATGAATACAATCTTATCTAAGTGCTGATAGAGATTGCTAAAGCTAAACTCAAATCAAATGTTCATCTTCAATGTGGCACTGTTAGATAATAATATTTGAAACTATATATCTTTAGTGAAAAGTGTATTAGTTTCAATACTGCCTTGATATCAGATATCTTTAATCTATTGATAACTCTTATTCTTATTCTTGCAGGTATCTAAAATAGTGTCATGTCTTCTACTAAACTCACTACTTTACTATCTTCTGAAATATTAATATTAATATCTTATGTCAGAGATATGCTTACAATTTTCTAATATATAGGTCAACTGCTACTTTTACTGCTTCACTGTCTTCACTTGCAATAGAGTTTTTATCAGTAGTTTTCACTTCTTTGGAAGCTCAAAGATCTTCAAAAGCTATAGTGATAGATGCCTCCTACTTTGTCAGAGTCATGATCTTGATTATGACTGATAGTTTCTTATAGTTCATATTTTTTTTTGCAGCACTTGTTAGCATGACTCAGTCGATAGCCCTGACTGGATTATGGGGGTGTGTGAATCTACATAGTAGCATGCCTCTATCTGTAAGGATAATCTACTCTGACTATACTATCACCTTATATCCTTATCACAGATTATATGTAAGATTTGGTAGCTCATTGGTTAGAGCATCTAGTCTAGAGTACAGATGGTTACAGATTCAATCCCTGTCCATGCCAATAGTTTCTCAGTGACTTTAAGCACTTTAACAGCACTATTCTAAAGGCATGAGTAGAACTTCTACTACTTATATAAACTATTTGTTGTCTTTATCACTTTATTTCTAACCAGCTTTTATCACTCTCTATTTCTTTATCACTTTTTGCTCATTTGTCATCTTCCACTTATTCATCACTTTCTCATATTCAATCTCTCTTGATCTCAGTTCATGCTATTATTTATTCTTATTTATTATCTTCTTCTATTGGATCTCAATGTATGTTATCAGTTTGACTTGAACTGTAGTGAATTATTGTATACTGTTATTTTTGCTACATATATTTTATCCTCACTTATCTAGTTATTTAACTATGTATTTTCTCTATTACTTTTCTTACTTATATATTTATTTAGTTTAATAATTGTTATATAAGTGTTTGTCTATATACCAAACACTTTTAGTATATGACAATATGGCTTGAGAAGAAGTGTTAAAAATCAAGCTGTAATTGCACTCATGACTGTATCCAAACTCATTCTACTTAATGCTTGATTATCTTTTAATTCTATTTCTTTATATAGATACTTAACTACTATATCTTCATTTATCTATTTTCTTGATCTTTCAAGTATCATAACATTTTTCTATTTTGAGCCTCATAATACTCTAATATTATTTTTATATTTTCTATTTCTTTCTATAGAAGATAAATCTTTGACTTACTGTAGAAACATCTCAGTTATTAGCTTCAATATTGACTAAGATATATAGCATATCACTTTCACTCTAAAACTCTCTTTGAACTAACTTGTATTTATAGTTCTTATATTTAATAGATAGCTATAATACAAAGTTATTAGCTTCGATATTGACTGAGTTCTTGTATTTACTATGTTCTTTATATCTGAGCTTCAATAGAGCTCCAAGTTCTTGTGGTAGCAAAGAAAACTATATATCTAATCTTTCTCAATACTTGCATCTGAGTTTTCTATATATCATTTGAGACTTTTATTTGTCTTCTCTCAAAGCAATTTATATATAAGTAAAAGGTGACATTGTCTGCAATATTTTACATCAAGTACAAGAAGAGCTTCTTTATTTATATAACTAACTTATTTTATTGCATTAAAGTTTTGTATAGAGCATTCACCTTTAATACAATATAAGAGAGTTAACTGAAAAATACCAAAAACTTAAGCAACATCAGATTTCTACAATATTTTTAGCATATAGAAGATTGTAATAAACTTTCAGATAATATATTTGATAAACGCCAAGCTAGATATTCTAAAATTTGAATTAAAGTTATAATTTTATAAATAGTATTTGTGAGGCAAATATTCTGTCCAAATTTCAAACTATCTGTTACAATTTTATAAAATAGAAAAAGCTAAATTTGATATAATCTATTTGTAATATAAAATTGTTGAATAATTCTAAATTAGGTATAGAATTTTATATGGGCTAATACTCAGATTTACTCTTTTTAGTCATATATTACTTGGTCAATCTCACTTTTAGGCTATATAAAAGTATGCTCACAAGTATTATCAGATATAAAATTCTATATGCAATTCAGAATTATTTAATAATTTTATCTCTATAAATATTTTATGCTATTTTATGTCATAGATGAATTATATCAAATTTGGCATTTTCTATCTACTAAAATTATAACAGATAATTTGAAATTTGAATAGAATATTTGTCTCACAAATACTGTGCATAAAATTCTGACTTTTATTTAAATTTTAGAGTATCTAGCTTGATGTTTATGAAAAACATATTATTTGAAAGTTTATTTCAATTTTCTGTATTCCAAAAACATTGTAGAAACCTAGTGCAATATAGAAAAGCCTCTCTCTGATATAAATTTTCAGACCTAAAATATTTTCAAAGGCTTGATAGTATATTGCAACTGAGCAATCTTCTTATTTGAGGCTTCTAGTTGAAGTTCTTTCTATGCCTTTGCTTTACAGTCTATTGGATTGAAAAAAAAAATATGAGAAGAATAATCTGATGCAAAATGCACTCTTGCATGCATATAATTATATCTGGCATGTAAAATGTTCTGGCCTCATTGAATAGCACTTTGTGAAAACACATCATTGCTAATATTAAAAATAAATTTTGCAGCAGTGAGATATAAATACATAGTCTGCAAGATAGACTGAAGAGAGGTAAGCAATAAGTAGTTCAAAAGTTATATTGCTTAAGAGAGCATTTCCATATTGGAATTTGCCATAAAATCTGAAAATGTCTATGGAAATACCTGTACTTGTGGTATAATGTTCTACTCTATGTACTAGACCTGTATGCATAAGAACTCAAGTGTCAGTGAAGTGAGTAGCTTTTTCAAGCCATCTGATTAAGAACCACCCATAGACCAAGGAGTATCCAAACTCTATATAGCATATCTGCAACAAGTATTGAATGGGTCAGACACGCCAGACCTTCTAAGCTAATTTTGTGATCATCTATCTTTTTGTAATGCACTATAATGTAAGATACAATCTGATACACAGATGAATGCAGAGTTTGATTGTAGCCCAGATAGATCTGTCAGCCTCAAATTTTTCCATTGCACCAGAATTCATCTCATTAACTCCCATTCAGCACCTACACCTGTATCCCAACTGCCCTCAGAAGCAAAGCCAAGCAGAGATATTGCCTATTTGAATAGGCTCTACTGACCACCAAACATGCTCTTATACCAGCATTACGAAGTCTGAACCCTGAGTAAGGCTTGACAGAAACACTACATATTACAGTGCACATCCATATGCTGGAATGTCTAGGATCGACAGGAACATGGAAGAGTCACTGTGGGGTGAGTCAGCAAGTCTGTCTTGTTCTTCTAGACCAAAATGACATACCAACGTAACGAAATGTCAGATGGAAGTTTAGACTAAAAGTCGAGTTCTCGAACACCATCCTTGTCTACCACCTTCACTTTGTATTTCCCAGGAGAGACGATAAGACGCTTCGACACCTCGTCAATGCATCGTCGGAGAGTGGCGAGACCTTCCTCGAGAGAAGCCTCAGGGTCATGGTATCTAGACACAGATGTCCTCAGCAATCAGCTATTGACCACTGATTGTAATATGAACTCACCGGTCAAGTAAACTGAGAGCAAAGTAGCTTCCATATCCATGCGCTGCAAACGGTACGCTAGCAAGCGTGCCGAGGTAATCGATCCAGTATAGATGCGGCGTATGTGTGCTCGTGTCGTAGCCACCGAGTAGTAGATTGACTGAGTAGGGTTTCCGGGATCTCAGAGAGTCAGCAAGAGAGCGACGGATCCATGACGCGGCGGAAGGAGGACGGAGGGCGTAGATGTTACGGATCTGGTAGAGACGAATGTTTCGTTCAATGTACTCGGCGAATTGCACAGTGTCACCTATTCAAAGAGCTAGTATCAGCAGTCCTATAGAAAGGACAGACGACTGAACACACCTGGCTCGCCAGTGTAAGCCATGAGCAAGTGCGGGCTGAGAGTCTTGATCTTGTCCTCGTCGAGCTTCACTTTGATGATGGAGTGGGCAGCGGTGGTGTCTGCCGCAACGATAACATAACCCTTGCCAGTGAGTGCGAATGAAATATCCATGGTACTCGTACAGTGTGTAGAGGCTCGAAGATGAGAATGAGGGTAGAGTTAGAGATGGCGCTTGCGACGCGTGTCCTCAAATTGGGACGCGTCCTCAGGCGGCAATTGCCGGCTTTCTCTTTTTCTCGCCAGTTGTTTCAAGCCCTCTTTGATCCTCTTCAGTGCATCGAATTAATTCTTCGAGTTCAACATCCACATTGACTATGAGCTCAAATGGCACCTCGAGCCTTAAGCAGCGCCGTCGCTCAGACTATGGGTATACCTTATCGTATCGCACTCGCTGGTCAGCAATATATTGCTTTGATCAAAGCCAAGTCGAAGCTCAAGTTGTCTTCCTTCTCTTGCCTCTAAAGGAGTGATAACGACCAATATGCACACGTCAACAACTCCGTCTACTACCATCTCTTTGACTCGATCATCAATACTTACCTCATAACTCATTGCGGTCTTACACCTCCAAACTCAGCCCTCATTGGGCTTGTTGTCTCATCCTTCTGTCAGTTCTTCTCTCCCCTTTCGTTTCCCGCTGTGTTGGACCTGGGTTTGAGGGTGAATATGCTAGGAAAGAGCTCGGTTAACTATGAGGTAGGGGTGTTCGAGGAAGGGAAGGATGTGCCGAGTGCCGTGGGTGGATATACTCATGTGTTCGTGGAGAACAAGAGTAGAAAGAGTGCTGCTATGGATGATACTTTGAAGGCTGGGCTTGTGAAGTTACTTGAACCGTCGAACAGGCGATCGGCGAAGCTTTGATCTATTGTACTTATCGACATTTTGTATAGAACCAAGTCGTAGATTGAAGCCGGGTTTTATAACATGGCCAGTTTTCCTTGCTCTGGGGTCTGTTTATGTTTAACACCTGTCCTCCCATCTTGGTTCCCTATATGGGCGCCTATCTAACCGCGATCACGTGTTGTGTTCGAACTTGAACGCGACACGCGCCGTTCTCGTGTTTCCTCCCTCCTCGTCGTTGGCCACCCTTCTCTCTCTTGTATACCCCTTCTCGCCTTTGGATACACACCTTATAAACTGACCACAATGTCCTATTTGCCAAAGACACCCTCACGCCACCATCGGTCTCGTTCAGAGACCAAGACGCCTCTCACACCCTCACTGGTGACCGGCCTAAACTCTCTGAACTTTGGCACGTCGGGCCAGTCACCGACGAAGTCTATGTATACGAAAAAGAGTCAAGCAGACCTGACAAATCCATTTATCGCCAGTCAACCTGCGTCTCCAGTCAAACGATCCACGAGTCCTATCAAGAGAGTAACCAATGCCAGTTCCGGAAGCATCCCTGTCTCAAGGAGCCTGCAGAGACAAGCTAGTTCGGGGTTAATCAGGAAGGGTGGTATTGAGAGTCGGTTGGATGTTATTACGAGGGATTATGTGCCACCAAATCCGCCAAAGAGCGAGACGAAGCGGTCAAAGTCACAACCTGCGGTCTGTTCCACTTTGATGTGTGTTTTATTGCCGATGCTTATAGTATCTGAATAGAGAGACACAAGAGATCGATTTATTACTACACGAGATACTACGGACGACGTTACGGCAGCACTGGACATGATGACTTTGAACGCCGAGTCAAGTTCACCAGGACATACCGCACGGCTGGCTGCAGCTACAGGTGTACCTCTTGGCCGTCGTATTCTCGCATACCATCAACCTCCTCCCGCATCGACATCTGACAGTTTGTTGTCGCAGCAACGTGAACTCGTCCGTCCGTTATACGCTCGACCAGGAGCTTTACCTACCTCCACGTCCTCCACTACGAACAAGACACGGAAGATTTCCAGTCAACCGGAGAGGGTTCTAGATGCGCCAGGCATTGTGGATGACTTCTACTTGAATCTGCTGAGTTGGAGCTGTCTGAATGTGCTCTCGGTTGCGCTTGGGGAGAACACATACGTTTGGAAAGCCGACAGCGGAGAAGTGGTACATCTGGGTGAAGCGCCTGAAGGATCATATGTGTCTTCATTGGACTTCTCGAACGATGGTCAATTCCTGGGCGTTGGCATCGGATCGGGTGAGGTTGAACTGTGGGATGTTGAGACACAAACGAAACTCCGCACTATGGTCGGTCATTCAAGTCAAGTCGCCTGTCTGTCTTGGAACAAGCATTTGCTCAGTTCTGGTTGTGGCGATGGCAGTATCTGGCACCATGATGTCCGAGTTGCCCGACATAAGGTCGGTGAGTTGACTGGACACCAAGGAGAAGTCTGCGGTCTGAAATGGCGCAGTGACGGAGAACTGTTGGCCAGTGGCGGTAATGATAATGTCGTGAATGTCTGGGACGGACGTGTGGGAGACGTTGCACCTGGAGCGAGAGGCGTTGCACGGTGGACGAAGAGAAATCATACGGCTGCCGTGAAGGTAACGATATATCGATTTCATACAACAATTCATCGAGCTTACATGATCTATGTGATAACAGGCAGTTGCATGGTGCCCGTGGCAGCCATCGCTTCTAGCGTCTGGAGGAGGGACTTCTGATGCGACCGTACACGTTTGGAATACAACAACTGGAGCACGGCTACATTCGTTGGCGACGCCATCGCAAATTACCTCGATTCAGTGGTCACCGCACCGGAAAGAATTCCTGACGACACATGGGTACCCCACGAACGCCGTCATGATTCACAGCTACCCATCACTGGAGAGGGTGATTGAAATACGAGACGCACATGACTCGCGAGTCCTGTGGAGCTGTCTGAGCCCTGCGGGGGATGTGGTGTGCACGGGTGCGGGAGATGAGAACCTGAAGTTCTGGAGGGTATGGGAAGTTCCGAAGGCGAAGAAGACGAAGGAGAGCAAGGAGAGTTACCGGTCGAGCACAAATGCGAACATCCTGAGCATTCGATAAGGGTGGAATGTGTTTGTAAGATATGTTTTGATGATCCTGTGATGTTTTCTGAATGGATGGAGTATGTTTTTGCGGCATCAAAGATGAGATAAGTCTGATGCAAGTCTGATGAGAAAGTGCCTGGGAGTCAATGATGGGAGACGCCGAGCACTCGCTTGGTCTGTCGGGAGATGATATTCGCACCTCAGCTCAGCCTGAGCTTGCTCGACGATTCCTTTCCCGCCCTCTACCATCCCTGAGGTTGCCCCGTGCTCGCTGTCCAGAACAGCGTCCACGCCCGCTCCTCGCCGTCTCCGACACTGTGTACAGTGCTTTCGGATTCTCACATTCCTTAAGTCCATTTGACTTGACCGCGTCAAAGTACGGTCATTCGACCCATCCGTGCTCGTGGTTCGCAAACTCTATCTCCCACAATAAAAATTACTTCTATAATATCGCCTAACTCACCTTTGACTTTGCCCGCCACCGTGTTGAGCACTTTGGCTAGGACTTGCCTATCCCTCGGACCCCCGGTGGCCACCGTTACTGTTCGCTACCGGGTTTACGTTGCCCATCGCGATCTCTGTCAGGTTCACACTTTTTCTCTGCCAGCTTCACTCGGCATCTCCGTCGCCCTCCATCGCGCTCATTGTCTTCTACAAGCCATTCCCACCCTTACGGACTTCACGATTTCTAGTCAGTTCAAGATCGCTGGTTCCTTGACCCGCTCTGGATTCTTTTAAGCTTCTCCTCGGATCCCATACCTAACACTAGTCCTTCTGGATTCACACACTATCACACTGCGTTGAACGGTTCAACGCGTCCATCGGTACCGTTTATTCCCATTGTCCTTCTTCTCCCCCCCACTCATCCTTTTTTCGCCTTCGAATGGCCATTCACAGCTAGGACCCCCCTCACTACCTATACCTTTGCATCCATACAGTGATACCTATACATGGATTCCCCACCGACTTCCCCTCGTCTGCTACAACGACGAGATCCCGTCCCACTCCTTCTATCTTCATTTCCCGCTCCGCCCACTCATATTCCCGTCAGTCCTCTCTCTCCTTCCCCTTCATTTCCTCCGTCGTCTGCAAACCCCCCTTCGTCCCCAAACCCTCCGCCTTCTGCACCACCCGCCAGCCCTTTACCCCCTGTTCCTGGTCCCTCGCCGATATCGGAACATGACACCCTGATGTTTATGTCCGCCGCCCGAACAAGGCGTGCTTCCAAGCTCTCGCTTGCGTCATCAGGCAGTTGCTCTAAGCGAGACTCAACGGCAACGTTAGCGAGCATCCTCACTGCTTCGAACAGTAACATCAGTCTACCCTCTTTGTCACCGAGCGGAAGCTTGACACAACTTGATTCCTCCAATCGATCGCTTCGATCGTTGTCCTCGACCGGTTCACACTCCTTTCCAACTCGGTACGGTAGCGATAAACTATCTTTAAAGGAACCGAGGATATGCGAAGAGGAACCTGCGGATCTTACGCGCATGTCTCTGGACGAGATTACTCCTGACCACGAATTCAGTGACGCCGAGGGCGAGGACCTACTCGAATTTGGTCTATTGCAACCGTCGTTATCCCGGGGTAAGCGTCCGGTTCACCATGGTCGTGGGTTCAATGATTCAATATCGTCGATTGACATGCGAGATCTACCAGCTTTACAAGAGGACGAACTTGAGGATATCCGTGTGCCTCACACCCTGCCACCTTCCCTGAGTCGTGTCAACAAGCTCAAGGCCTCGTCGTCTTCGCTCGCTCGGCAGTTCTCGGTGTCAAAGTTGAACAAGGAACTCCCGCCAATCCCCTCTTCATCCTCTCGGCCTCCGGAAGATGCGCAATCCAAACGTGCAGAAAGCCCCGATATTCGCACTATCCTTGCTTCCACTCCGAAACCACACCGGAAATCCGCAGTCTCTCTAGGCTCTGCTGCCCACAGATCACGCTCAGGCTCCCGGACGCGTCGATCATCAACTCGTACGGGACCCAAACGACGCGTCAGTGAGGGTCAAGTCGCGTCCGGACCTATCACCATCACGATTGACTCCCTCAAAGGTCGTCGATCTGATGTCATTGTGTCTTCGGAACTGCCATATGTCCAAACAGGGGAGCTGGAGAGACATGACAATGATTCAGATGATTCAGATTATGGCGTCGCTCTTGATGGGACAGGTACTGCCCTCGAGATATTTGACAAAGAGCTTGAGGATAGGCTCGAGAGACAGCTGGAGGGCGATGGCAGCGATTCGGATTCGAGTATTGACATTCATACTCCGTTACCGTATGTGTTCTCTCATTCTTAATGATGGTGCACCGACTTACCGATCTCTGCAGGCATTTAATGTTGCGCGATGGCTTGCTTTCACCGAATTCTAAACTGCTTCCTCAATCTTCACGGGCCGGCACGCCACTATCAATGATCTCTGGGCGTCCGGGAAGCATGATGAGTGTTGCATCCACTGGTAAGTTTTTTTTGGCTGTTCGGAACGTTCGGCCTCCGTGCTAACTAGTATTCTCAGTCATGACCAAATCGGGCATCTACAAAGATCAACGCGATACAGTGCAACGACGGGTACGACACAGAGATGGTAGACTTTTGCGAGGAGGTATTGGATTGACCACTGGGCTTGGGTGGAGTGATAGGTGGGTGCCCTGCGCTTCGTCCTTTCGGCTATCGTCTGATGAAACCTTCACAGCGAGGATGAAGATGCACCGTCGCCCTTAACTACACGGCTTTCTTCTCTCACTCTCTCGCGCTCGTCATCCTCAAACTCGGTTACATCAAAGCTATCCTCTTCTCGGTCCGTAGGGGAGGGCTTACGCTCTGCACGATCCGCTGCACCACCCTCGTCTTGGCAGCATTCTTCGCTCCGGACAAGCGGTAGCAGCACTTCTACTGATTCCTTCAATAGTGGGGGATCTATACGGACATCTGTATCAAGTCAGTTGTCGGTTTCGACAAGCAGGCGGACATCAGAGAGTACTGCTCTCGCGTTGGATCACATTCACGAGCACGAAGAAACCGCCTCTTCCAGCGCATCGACCGCCAGTTTGCCTATGCCTGTCACACCAGCAGATGATCTCAACGATCATTCTTGGTCTGGGCCGAGTAAGGGCAAGACGTCCATTTCATCCTTGTCATCAATGAAGACGCCGTCGCTCCGTCGCATTCCGTCAGGTATACCGTCTCGCTCGGCGTCAGGTACGACAAAGCCTTCAGACACCGCGGTGCGCAAGAGGACGATCTCGTCGTCATCGAACTCATCCCTCGCTGCTTCCTCCGGCTCACATGCAGGATCCTCTCTGCCTACACCTATGCAGCGAAACCCCAACATCCCTAGGCCGCTCCGTTTACCGTCTTTAGGTTCGAAGCCACCCACCTCTAGGCCGAGCGTCGCACGAAGCAGTAGCGAGAGTCAGCCATCGTCTAGGACAGCAACTTCAAGGATACGAACAACGTCAGGAGGGTTGGGACCGGTACCATCGTCACGGCTCGCGCGACCATCGATGCCTCAGCTCTTGCAGAGCCAGTCGGCGTCCACACTTTCTTCGTCACAATCTACTCCACCCGAGCGACCGAAGCCACGGACAGGCACGGGTATGGTATATCGCACGTCAACAACACGTTCACTTCCTGGGAGTGCTCGTCCCCCAGGAACAAGTTTACTTCGACCGCCTGCAAGTGCAGGGCTAAATAGGGGGAGCGGGTTCCCTGTATAATTGTGCAACTAGGTTTTCTCTTCCCGTTTAATGCCATTTGCTTTGCATCTGTTTTGTTTCATGTTCGTTGCATTAGTTACATTATGATCTATAAATGCCCCTACACCCAAACAGTTCACTGCATTTCTACTACATGTCGTTCATTATCCTCACCCGTTGTTCACACATTTGTATACCCTACGCCATAGCTTCGCATTGGAATGGTTTGTTTTTGGAGCGCATAGGAAGCGTTTTTATTGTAATTAGATCCAGTTAGCTTAGAGGTTATATAGGTTTGTTTCGAATGGATTGCATTGTGTACAAAAAGTGTGTATGAGCTTGTGTGTGGTGAGTGAACTATCTACGACTGAGTTGCATGTGAGCTCCTTGCCCCCCTAACGGCCCAGCTCTCCCTAAGCTACTTAACCTTGTGGAAACTTCAAGCAATATAGCCAGCTGCAACCAAAGACTGAACGAAGGGCAGGGAACTCGGGTCTACTGCAGTCAATAGTGACTTGATCTGCGGCTTCGACTTCTGCAGTTGCTTCAGCTGTTGCCCAAGATATTCGCGAGGATCGCGTACAAAAGCGACTGGGTCGGCTTCGACTGTTTCCGATGCAGCAAGACGCGAGTAGGCAGCCTGATAACCCGCAGTCTGTTCCTCGTAGTCGATCATTGTGAGACCGGCATCCTGGTCTGCCTCGCCTTCCTTCGAGGTCAAATGCTGAGGTTCGGAGAACAATTTCGCCAATGTATCGAATGCCAACGGCCTGCACCCAGTCAATTGTCAGTGACAAAGATATGTGAAGAGTTGCCAAAATGATGTACCATGTTTTCATACTAGGTTCTCTCAGTATGACCTCACTTTGAGTGAGCATGCGAGTCAAACCGATTGCAGCAACTTTCCTATCCTTTGGCGACATCTTGGGTGTCTGAGGAATCACGAAATTCGTGAGAATCTGCGACCAGAGTCTACAGCGGTGTCAGAATAACCCAGGAAGACAAAAAAAAGATAAGCACATACTGCGGCTGAATTTCCTCCACCGCGCTGATCACAAAATCAGGCGTGAGGCCCTCGACGTTGATTGCCATACTGAACAAGAGGAAGTGTACGAAGTGGTAGACATAGCTGTCCGTCTTGCTGGTTTGCAAGCGAGTCAGCAGTGCCACAATGATGGCACGGAAGTATTGCTTGAGCTGGGTACTGATACACAATAGCAAGATCAGTATCTATTATCCCCCAAAACCACGATAGCACGGGCACTCACGGAGGAATGTTTTGCATAACTGATTGCAACAGTTGGAAGCCCCATACGTCATTGATCTTTGACGGTATCAGCCGCTGCTGCACGACAGCCAGCACAGCGGTGAATTGTCCGGTAGACACCATATGAGCTGAATCGCGCGCTAAGAATGCTTTCAAAAGCTTGACGAGACCCGGGATACTGCCCTTTTGTTGCCAACTTGCCGGCGTGAGCAGGAACTGAAGCAGGTCACGATATGCAACCGGGACATCGGTGGTATGTAGCTCCAACATCTGGGCGAGGAGTTGGAAGACATAGGGGATATACTCTGTGTGCAATCTGTTAATAAATGCAACTAGTCTACACAATGATCATGCGAAAACCTACGATCAATATCTTGTTGAAGGATGATTGTCGCTGGTCCGAACAATGCTTGCTCGAAGATGGGCAGAGTGGCCGGATTAGAAGTCACAACGAATCTATAAATGTACAATCTAACTTCACATTGTCGGCAAAGCGACATAAGGAACTCACCTCATCAAGGCAGAGATACTCTCAAATATGTACTGGTCGAAATTTGGATTGCTTGGATTGCTCGATATGATGCCCAGTATGCGCACAAGCCTTTGAAGAATCTTTTCGTAGTCGGGCACGAGTGTTGACCGAGCGGTAATGATGACTCGCATCACGCCTGTTCGATGCGTGAGTAAAATTGGGGAAAAAAAAACAACGAATATCGATCGACACGTACACTTCATGAGATAGTCGTTTTCGGCGACCTTCTCCGGGGACTGTGCTTGCTCAATTTTGAGCAGAAGGGCATGGATAATGTGAGGGGCAATTTCGTGAATATCCGCCTGTGCAAATCTACATGGGGATTAAATCAGCAGCATATTAAGACACCGAAAATTTAACCTACAGAAGCTGAGTCCCTTGTCTAATGAAGAGAATTCGTTCGATACTGATAGCAGCATATGTGTAGCAGACATAATTGTTCGAACCAAGGTGTCGAACGAGGTGAGGAAGTACAGAAAGTAGTTGAGGTTTCGTTAGCTGCCAAAATAAGAAGTGGAAGTCAATATCGGCCAATGTCAAACGAAAAGTGATACAGACTTGTGTCCTGAAAGTGTACAAGAATCGGATAGCATCGACTTGTAGAACCGGATGAACACTACCAGGATCTGCTTCAAGGTCCTGAAAGATATGTTCCGAGAAGAATTGAACAATATCGACAAGAGCATTTGTCGAGGTCACACCGTGCTATCGTAACCGTTTAGCAGTGCAGATCACCCCAGAATTTAGGTAGTCCACTGACCTGTGTTGTGCTCCCCCTGGTAGCAACAGCAGTCAACAGATAAATTGCAGTATCCTTCGCTTTCCAACTATCCTCCTTCGTCCTATTTTCATTATATTCTCTCAAACCTTGTGCGATCCAAGCGCCTGCAACCTCCGTAGTTTCGGTTTCAAGCCCTGAACCCACCAGAGCTCGCAGAACATCGGCGGCAGCTTGTCGACGAGTGACAACGTCATGAGAGCCGAGACCCAGTCCACCGGAGGAAGCTGGCAGTGACAGATCGAGTCGGATATATTCAAGAGGATCATCTTCGAATTGTTCGATTTCGTGTTCTAAAGGACTCAACGGAGAGTGTGAGAAACGAGACACCTGCAGAATTTAAAGAGTGGACGCACCTCGGAGGCCGATGTTTGGCACTACGACGCCTTGTACGAGACTAGAGATGGTGTCTCTTGAGCCGAAGATATCCTTGTAATAGCCTGAACGAATGGCCGTTGAGAGGAACCTCAAAGCTTGTGACACGAGCTGTATGCGACATGAGCAAAGTGACCCAATACCCGTACATAAAGCACACTTACGCCATCGTCAGCGAGACCGGGCAGTTTACCACTCCCGATCAATTCCCAGACCTTGCGTACAAGTGCCTCTACAGCACCAGAGCCCTGTAGTGTTTCGGGGTACAGTTTTACATACAACTGTAAAGAGATATAATAAGACAGAATGTACATGATTCAAGCCCGGGGACCGCACCTCCGCGATCTCGAGAATATGTGTCTTAACTTGAGATGGAAGGGAAGGACTTATGTCATCGGGCTACGAACCATAGATTATCATTTGGAAGAGCGCAATGTGATGAGTCGCAAACTCACATCACCGCGCAGCTCGGAAGGATCCCAATCAAGGAATTGCAGGAATAGACCACTCGGGGCACCGAAGAACTGATTTTGTGTGTCTTCGAAATCTGGAGGAAGATCTTGACATGTAAGATCGTAGTAGATTTCAACAAGGAGGACCTGGGTTTGAGCAGCGAACTCCAAGTCTGATTTTGACGCAACTTGCGCTGATCGGCTGAGCAGGACGCCAGCGGTATATTGAAATAGTTGAAGGAACGGCTTTCCAAAACGCGAGAGAACAAAATTGATCACGGTGAAAAGAGAATCCGACCTTGTTGCGGCTCGCCATGGACGGAATATTGAGTGAGCGGTTTGGAGAACACCAACATTGACAGAGAAATTGCTCTCCGAGAGGGATGCAACAAGATTCTGCAAAGAAAAAGTGTATCAGCACCGTTGACATACTGGGAGAAAGTGCGGGTCGCTGAAGAGACAAACGACCCAACAGGAAAGGGCCTGCTGGCATGACATCATTTGTTTGAGCACAAGACTCACGTCAATGAGGTCGGGCCATTTTTCCGGGAAGTCTGTCACAGCAATTGAAGAGATGGTTTCTGCAATCTGTGCTCTGACCGCCTTGTCTGATAGACCTGAAAGGGTCATCATAGCTGGGATCAGGTCCCGCCGCAGAGTGACCTTGTCTGCTTCGGCCACTGCACTTTCTTCCTGAGTACATTTGTGAGATAGTGATACAACCACAGTCGATCGGAGACATACATCTTCCCATCTCGATTTCACAGTATTTTTCAAGTACACGCTCCCGGCTAAGCGAACGGAGCGATCTTGAGATGCATCTAATACGAGTCGAAGAAGCTGTGGTAGGAAGCCTGGCTGCAAACTAAGAGTCTGAAGGTTTTGTTCCGCCTGTCTGCGGGTTCCAGGAGAAAGGGAGGCCAGGAGGAGGGAGGGGAGATCAGCCATGGTGGTAGGATGCAAGCTTTGCAGCAATCTCCTCAGTGCTCAGCGCTCAAAGCTTAAGGGCGCGTCGCGTTCACGCCCATCACGAGGCTCGCACGTGACTACTTAAGGGCAGGCTCAATTCACGATTCCTATAAGTACGCTCAGTAAATACACGGCAAGTGTTCTGTAGCATTATTTGAGGTAGGTGACGCAGTCGAGATAAATACAGGAGAATCTCGACAAAAGAGAACATATGGCTCCTGAGTTCCTGCAACTTTGCGATCAATTATGTCAGTGCTACGTACTCTGCATACTCAGCTTATCTGAAATCAATGGGCCTCGAACATCCGGACAGAGTCAAGCATGCTGACGGAAGATTTCAGCCCAACGATTTTTGTGGACATTCCATAACCAAATTCAATTAGTCGTGGTGGGTCCGACCCATTTGCCCTGCTACGTTAAGAAGGGCCTCTGCCATCCGTACCGAAACACCGTGCACATCCAAGACCTGATGTATGTTCCGCGATCAGTACGAAAGGAAAATCCTGGATTGTATTTTCCACCCTGGAGATTGGAATCGATTTGAGCTACGTTCCCAGCGCAGAACTATGTACAAGCGATCGATCAATTGGATCGAACCCTATGCTAAAAACGCCAAACACGTTGGATACCACAAACCCATCGTAAGCTTGACTACAACTAGCCCATCGAAAACTTGAGCCACAAGGTACACCATATGAACTATTGTGTCACTCTGGCATCTGTTCCCCGAAAGCCAGCCATCATGCGTCATTTCGTTCCTTCTCTACCGTTACATTGGCATTCATACCGCCCACAACATTTCCGCCGTCTCTGACCAAGCTCTCGCGCACCTCCTTCAGACCTTGCTCGCGTTCTGACAAGATATCTCGGTGCGTAGCTATGGCAGAATGAAGAGAAGTATAAAGGGAGAGTTTGGCGCTGCGTGATATAACTTAGTATGCCATTCATAAAGTTGCGAGAAAGGCTGTACGTCATATGTTCTTTCACCTGTATGACGATCATGATGGATTCAATAAACAGAACGAGAAAAGGCAACATAGAGTTCACGTACGAAGTCAATTATTTTAGCAAAGCTGCTTGCCAATTCTATAAATCAACTCTTCAGTGTGCACAATTTCAAGACGCGTAGAAAAATAGCGTACCATCCGCTCCCGCTTTCCACTCATCCAAATCGCACTCGGACCACTTGTTCTTGGCTTCCATATATGCTTCGTAATGCTTCTCCGAATATTCGTCGAGGTCCTGACCCAAAAGGCGACGTAAAGCAGTGTCCTCACGAACGACAGCTGCCGGTAGTTCATGATCATACTGTTGCTGGAAGGAGGGAAGACTTGCTGAGACGTTACGTTCAATCTCGTGGTTAGGCTGGGGCTGAGGCATTGGATGTCTTCCGTATTGACTGGCATATTCCAGCTAGCAAAGACTCGTTATGGTTCAGAGCCGCTGGTGGACGGTATAGGCACACACCTGTCGTTCATCAAGTAACATATCTGTCCTGTACCTCTTGGCTCCAGTCCCGTAGTCGAGCTCGTCTTCTCCATCATGAACGTTGTACATGCGTTTAGGTGCTCTCTTCAAACGGTCTTGGTTTGCATACGCCTCCGGTTGGGGATGGTCACTTTGCAAATCGAACCCGTCACTAGTCGGCGGTAAACCGGGATCATCCTCACGAGAATGGGTGTGTTCTTCAGCCGTCTCGTTAATACTTTCCAAGGAGGGACGGGAAGAAGCTCGTCGTATCTCAGGAACTCTTCCACTTGGATTCGCAAGGTGCCCTTGAGCGTAGGGAGTAGGATCAGCAGGATGTGCGCCAGAGGTGGGTATATGCGCCTGATTCGAGCTAAAAGCGTCTCCAGAAGTGGATGCATGCTGTTTAGTAGGGTCATTCAAGCGATTGTTCCTAGTATTGGGCACAAATCCAGAAGCGAGGTTGGCAAAGTCGAAAGGAGAAGAAGGGCGAGGGCGAGGAGCAGCAAGACGAGACACACTGACATTCTGAGGAGCAGGAGAACGATTATGCGCAGCAGCAGGAGCAGAAGAGTCAACAGAAGTTTTTCGAGTCTTTCCATTTGGGGGAACATGATTCACGTCCGATTTGCGTTTATTGAAGCTAGCAATATTCAGAGGCTTGCTGATACCGCTCTCTATACCGGTACTTGGCCTTGCATTTTTAGGCTGTTCATCGGGAGGAGGGTTGCTTGGTACACCTAGAAGTCCATTTGGGTGAAAGCTATCCTCGCCAGCAGGGGTTTCAACTAGAGCAGGAGCAACTCGCGACGTGGGTCGCTGAGGCACGAAAGGTTGTCGTGCACTCATGTCAGAGGATCAAGGTGTCGAGAAATGAATACTCAGAAGTTATACACAAGGTCAAGAGGCGATGGTCGCAGCTAAAGAAGCTGCCCTTTCTGGTGGATGTCTTCTTATCCTGTTTTGCATATGGCGCCGAATTAGGCAGTCGCAGTATTCGCTGCTTGACGGTAAAATAACACGTAACACAAGACACGGGGTTCCAGCATACTAGTTGAGAAACATTGGCAGAGTATTCACTGTGGTTTGAATATATAACGATAAAACAAGTACATTGAGGGCCACTAGTAAAACATAACCAAAATGAGTGGACTGGGGTGAAGACACGCGAGAAGGATGTCGCATTGATGAAATACATTTAAACGAATGAGGTTTCGCAGGATCAGAAGTACCATTGTGAACTCTGTATGCCAGCAGCCGGTGCAGAGACAGAGCCCTTTGCAGAACCCTTCATAGACAAAGTCTCTTCCTTGGCAGGTTCAAGACGACAGGCAGCTTCCCACAAGCCCACCAGGGGCATAAGACCGTCATGATCGCCTTCAGATATATCTTCTGATTCCTCAGGAATAGGACAAAGGAGACCACCAGGTGAACGGATTTGAACATCAATGTTATCGGGAGTATTGGCGCCTTTCCAGTCAGTTCTGCCATGACTTGAGGATTGAGGAGAATCTCGATCGGTGTGCTGACTTGAGATGCCAAGACCTAGGGCAGTATTCACAGCATCCACATCCAGCATCCCATCCTTGATCAAGTCATCGAGGATCCAGTCGGTAGATATAGACCGGCTTTCAGACACATATAGCTCTGGTGAAATGACGGCCACCGGAGGGGCAGCCTTCGCATTGCGGGGCCTTGGAGTAGGATTTCCGTGAGAATTTGAGTCGGAATAGTAGCCAGTTGATGACCCAGATGTCTTCTTCACAGAAGTCGGGGAGACGATACGCTTCGTCTTAGGTGGACTAACACGAGAGACTGGGCTAAGAGCAGTCTTCATCATAGTCGCATGTATACTTTCAACGGATGTCACAGTGACTTTAGGCGATCTCTTTTCCGGAGATGACATCGTAGGAGTGTAACCAATATCGTGAGGTAAGATGAGCGAGTGATCAGGATAGATGAGGCTAGCCATGAATTGCTCCGAAGACATAGAAGACATGGTGGCAGACGATTCGTCTGTCGTAGAAGCATTCCGAAAGGAGGGTGCTGAGAATGCAAGTGCAAGTTCAACAATCCAGGACGATTGATCTAAAATTGGAGAACTTACTCTGACTGAAGGATCGGCTTGTATCAGAGTCTGTTCGTGAGGGTACTTCCGTTGTGACGATGGCATGAGCCTCGAAATGCTCGTTCGTCCTCGGTGAGGCCTGAGGAGGTGTGTTGCTACCTTTGCGGGAGGCCCTGGGACCACGGGAGCTCCTACGAGGGGTTTGAGGAGGTTTCCGCTTGCTACCAAGAGCCACTGGCAAGTTATCTGGACACACAGGCGAACCAGGATGAACGTTACCACAGCTTGTGATATCCATCATTGGTGAAGCCATCTCCAGGAAGGAAACTGAGGGTGCCCGAGAGCTATATGAGGTGTGACGACGAGAATGCGTGTTACGAGAGCTGCTGTTGACCGCAGATTTGACTGAGCCTACGGCTATGGCAGAACGTATCTCGGAAGGCGAGAAATGATCCCGATGGAAGGTCCCAGATATTGAACTACTTGCTTTCCGAGCAGCTCTGTCCGCATGCGATTTGATTCTAGTCTCCCAATGTGGCGAGCCGAAACATCCTACGAGATATCCTGTTATAGCAGTGCTAGATGGCAGATAATTCCTTCGATGAACGCTATGGGATTGAATACCAAGACCAATGAATTGTTGACTAGCAGATTCGGATTTGACCTCCAGAACGCCAGAGTCGTACGAGTGGATGGATTGTGCTCGGCGGTACCGCACGTAGGCATACTTGAGAGAAAGCAGAAGAATGAATGGTATCGCAAGTTCCAGGACTATTATGGGCGACGCCCCAGGCTCTTCAGCATACTGTGGTATCGGGCTTCCATAGACAGTCTGCAGTGTGATCGCCAGAAACAAGATATAAGAGAGGGGAGAGAACATCGTAAGGGGTGGTACGGGTTCAGACTCGCGTATCTTGGAGGATTTCGCAAAGGTAATGTTGCAAGGAGAAGATAAAGAGTGTACTTGTGAGAGTGTGGCACGTACTGTAAGTTGGGGTGGAAAGTTGTTCAACATAGACTGCTATTCTTGGACGTGGCCTTCAAGGATTTCTAGCGGGCCGGATTGCCGAGGCTAGGCGCGTAAGTCTCGCATGCTCAGCGCTCAGCTTAGGACCATGTACACTTGATGACAGTTGATGTACACACACCCCGGCAACCGGGCATGCGTGAGTGTAGTCAATGTAAGTAAGTCAAAGTGAAAAGGTCATTTTTTTTCTTCATCCCCTTGAACGCCCTTTTTCCATCCATCGTTGCCCTACACGACTAGTCTTCCTCGCTATCAATCGTTATAACATGCATCCTCGGAACTTCATACATACTATTAGACCTCTTTTCTCATCTTACCACCTGACACTGTAGCTCGACTCCAGAGTCCAGACTAATTCTGAAAATACCTAGATCCCACACTCTACTCCCGGAAGAGAGTCATAGAAGAAAATGAAGTTGATAAAGCACAAGCAAGAGCATGCGTACATGTGCGTTGTGCAGTATATTTGTTCGGACATGGGAAACTTGCTTGCGGGAATTTGTACAGGGTTGTCCGAAGACCGTCGATCGATGCCAATCTGGATTTACCCATGACAGAACAACGAGGTTCATTCTTGTTCACGCGATGCTTAACATTATGAGAAAGTAGTACCGTGATGTGCAGGGATACAGCAGTCTGGGAATTTTTGAAGTGGTTCTCATAGTTCCTCATCACTCTGCCTGTCATTTCTGGACGCAAGTGTGGACGCGAGGTCCGATCTGGGTCCGATCTCACGAATGTTCAAAACCATCGAATCTTTCAGTCTTTCAGTTATGCTACCATGCTCCGCTGCGAATTGGAATCGTCCAATATGGATCACTCATCTGACGTTTACAACAGACACCGTGGATGGTGAACAAACAACTCTCCAAAACCTTCATTCCATCCCAGCTAGAAGCATACTTCCTTTTACTGATCACCTTTTGGATGGCTACCTGTGGGCCTTTTTAGATCCCTTTTCAGCTCTCTATATGACAGTCACGAATAGTTGATTGTATTGTTTACAACATTCTATCCGACTGCATAGCGGACTTGTGCACGAAGCCCGATCTAGACCATGGATTCGATATCTTCTCAACGAGGTGCCTTGGCTTATTTTCAGAATCATTGTCACTGAATGTTCTACCTGCTTCGGGCCACAGCCTCCTCAAAGTCACGGGTTCCCCTTTCGTCTCACAAGAAGTGACGGGCGGACCCTGCTTCATATCCCATATGCACGCATCTGACTCGGCCTGTAAGTCCTCAGGCTTCTCTGATTCCTGATACATTGAAGGTAATACGGCTATTTTGCCTAGTAGCGGAGACCCATACCATATGACTTTGGACAGCAAGCTTCTGCGAATGGAGATCTAAGAAAAGAATATGAGGCACGTATCAAAATTCCGCCGTCGCACAAACAACACTGCGACTGCGGCTACTTGCGGTCCTCTGAGGCATAAAAGCCCTTCAGGATGCTTGCTGTTCGCCCAGTGCACCTCATTGAGACTCACTACCAGCCCGCCCCTTCAAGATGAAATTTTCTCCTTTGGTTTCTCTTGTCGGCCTCATCGTCGCTGTCATGTCTAACCAAGTGCTTGCCGCCACCAACGCCACCAACGCCGCCGACAATAGTGCGTTAGCTTTCATATGGAATAAATATTGCTCTTGCTGACCTTGTGTCTACATCCCTGCATTCATCGTTCTCAATGTGCGTGCAACAGATTTTGCCGCTTCCTGCAGTCGCATCGGCCTCTCCGACGGTCACATATTGACCGCTACATGCGGAGATGGCCACGGCAACAACGTCGCTTCATCTACGGATCTGAACTTCTGCATTGCCAACGCTGGCGGAAATCTACGTTGCCAGGTCAAGTGAGCGTCTTCTCATTCCACATGGTGACTACGAAGTGTCTGACCACCGTATACGCTGCTTTAAGTGGTAACTACTTGGCCAGCTGTGGCGGTTGTAGCTTGCAAGGCACCTTTCTCCAGTGCTCCTGCGGCGGGGTTAGCGGCGAAGCTTCCGTTGATACCAGTACTTTCCGTTTACTCGCCAATTTTCTACAAGTTCTCGCTAACGGTCACGCATATAGATGGATGTATTGGGAATGCAGGCGGACAGCTAGTTTGCCAGCCGTAAAGCCATTGACGGCCACCCCCGGTGTAACAGACATTACGGAGGCATTCATTGCGCTATCAGCATGAAATAACCGTTGTTGTACAATAGATTCATTTGTATCTAACCTGTTCCGCAACAATTTGGCGGTCACTTCGGTCATGAGTTTCTGTACTGTCACATGTATTGCCTCGTTGTATTGTCATTCCACTTGAAGTCGACCTAACACCTCGACTCTAAGTAAGTAATCAGCTGCAAATTTCCCCGGTCCCCTCCATATGGTCATAATAACTTGCGTATTTCCTTGATCATGCATGGCTCGTCAAATATTTCCTTCTGTTGGAAACCAGTCCATTTGTCCACAAACACCTACCAACTTTCAAGTTCAACTTTACGACTTCCAAACTTGGCTAGGTCAGAGGCGCTAGTGCCGAGAATGATGATATCGTCAACTTATGCGCTTTCTATGACTCTATCACCTGCAAGACCAGTAGGATGCTGGCCATACATTGTCTAGGCAAACCATGAAAGGATATCATGATGAAACGTAATAAAACAAGTAATGCTAGCCCTTTGTGCTTATCATGGATTAGTGAATGATACATTCCGCCCGATGAGTGTCCTGTTCTACATAGTCCAGACATGAAGTTGTGTAGTGTTCTTTCACTGTCCTTTCTCAACGAGCTGGGTAACGATCTCAACCGCCCTCTTGAACTTCGTCTTATCCTCTTCACTAGCCTGGACCTGGCTCTCTCCTCCACCACAACCCTGAGGTCCACCATTCATCCACTCGAGATCGGGACTTCCAAACGCGATGCTTGTATCCAGCCCGTAGATGTCTTCGCTGCCAGGAGGGAACTCGGTAGGGATTGACTTCAAGATCGAGTGCAGCTCATCAACCAGGGCTTCGGTGGAGTCATCAACGGTGAGCTTCTTGGGAACGGCATCCTGTAACTTAGGAGTTCCGTCAGGGCGCACGGCCGATGTGATTTGGAGAGTGTTGATAGTTGCATCTCTTGTAACGGTGAGAATGGCTCTCGGAGTGGGTGGGGCAAAGCCTCCAGTAATGCCTATGCAGAGCACGATAAAACATGTTCATACGACGACCTAATGAATTGCTTACCGTGCTGTAAGCGCAAAGAGAACTCGGTGGGCATAGTAAGAGTGAGTAAAGGGTATGAGAATGGTTGTAGTGGAAGTACGAAAGAAAGATCGATGGGCCACCCAAGGACACTGCGCGGCCGCAGTTTATGAGCAATGATGATAAGTAGACTGAGAATAGGGTTAGGGGTTAGTTAATGGAACATCCGAATTTTACGGACATGGTGACGATCACGCAAGGATAGGATGTTCAGTCGACGACAGGTTCAGCTGATAATGCAATCTTCCTTGAAGCTGAGATTGTACATGGTCTTATCCACGGTCTTCTCAATCTTCTTCCAGTCCGATCGTCTCTGAATGAACTCGTACACGTCCTGCGCAATCATTAGCAGTCCGTTCAATACATGCTCGTGGAGACTCACTTCGGGTCGATATGCTCCTCCATAGCGGGTCACATCACGAACAATCTGAGCGAGGTCTTTGGCGTCTTCGACGACATATACGTGTCCCAACATCTTCAGGTAGGAGAACTCAGCCGCAATTGTAGGCACCTGGAAAGGCTTGAACATGTACACTGCATGGCATTGTGAGAGGGGTCTTACCTTTAAAGATGCGATGAATGTATAGTACGCATTCAAGTCCGCAATGATTTGGAAGCCGCCATTCAGAGAGATGATTTGCCTCTTGATGTGCTTTTGCAGGATGCTGTAACGGAAGACAGAAGATCAATCAGGAGTACCATGCATGAACTCAGAGTCACTTACGCTATGAGTCGGATGCCAATTTCTTGATAGAACACTTCGAGTACTTCCTTGCTGGTGCTGCCCTTCAGCAATTGGCAATGCATCCCGAGACACTTAATCGCCTCTTGACAGCCTTGAGTAGGTCCCAAATCCATAGCTGCATCTTCTGCGGGATAGTATTCACGCGGCTTTGTTAGCCTCAGGATGACGTGTTCCACCTGAATGACTGTACATCAGTATAGACACAATACTCAAGTATTTCAAGCATACCTGGTTCATAAGTGCGTCGGTACCAGCGTTCATGCCAGCAGCAACACAATCGTCGAGGATATCTTCGAAGCGCTTCTTCTCTCGAACAACTGTATTGAGGAAGTCGGTACGATCTATATGTGACGCCTGGAAGACGAAGAAGGTCAGCAACAAACACGAGAATGCCATAAGCCCCAGGACCTACCAATTCCTTGTCAAAATACACCTGGATCATCGATTGCATTGTATCGCCCACATGAGCGAGTTCGAAGAACTGCAAAAGTGGCGCAACGCTTTGAGACTCCTCATGCTCTTCGGGATGATAAGCACGCATCTGGTCGGTCGCCCTAACTCATACAAATCAGCCTTGTACGCCCCGGGCAATGATCGACAATGACATTTACCGTTCGAAACCCGGTCGAATGTGTCGTTCTCCAAGTGCTTGCAAAAGCAACACAAAGATTTCCTCAATTGTGTCTCGAACACGATGTCCATAATGTCCAGGATATCCAATGAACGTTTCGACACGTTTCAAAGCTTCACGGTCTGCATGAATGAGTTCAAGAGCTATATCCAGAGAAAGCAAGAGTTCCATTTTATCGAACGAGGCGGTGGATGCTGAAGCGGATGGCGCCGGTGTCGTTACTCCAGTCGAAGTTGTAGATGATTGACGTGTGGACCGTTGACTTGACGAGTCACCCAGCGTTGAGGATATGGAGTTTGATGTTGAGTGCATAGACATTGACGTAGCTATGAAACAGTCAGAATGCTTTGGATTTACTAGTCAAAAGCTACTTACGCCTCGATGATGTACCTCCCTTTTCTTGGATATCCTCCTCGTCATCTTCATCTCCACCGATTTCGAATAGCATTCCCGCATTTCCCTTCTCAAAGTCTTGTATATACCCGTCTCGAGCGCTAGGTGCACCCCAGCGTTGTGGGTTCAGCATGGATATACCCTGTACCGCAGCCGAACTTCCCGTAGTAAACGCGGCGTTGACGGCCTTGCCTACGTGGCCGACGGTTCGCGGGACAATGGTGACGGGTAGTAGTAAAACGTCGGTGAAAGATGCTAGTACGGTTCGTTTTACCTGTGCAGGATTGTGGGAGCTAAGAAACCGTGCATGATCGGCTGTTGGTGCGGGTATTGTTGCTCGTTCACTTAGCTGAAACACGGATGCCTAAAGTCAGCCTATCCCATACAACGAAGAGCGAAAGAAAGATACATGCCTGCTTTTCCCACGTGCGGCAAATAGCATCGAAGCTTTGGTTGATGAATTCAACTTCCTCGTCAAGATATTCGTCCATATTTGATTCGAACATCCTATAACTGCATTATTGTTAGCTACGTGTTAGTCAGGTAGAATTAAGATTATAACTAACACGACGTCTTCCGCTTGGGTTTGTGTTATGGCCGCATCACTGCGCGTGCTAGCAACCTTGAAGGTAGCGTCGACCAAGCGCCAGGCTTCCTTGAAACTTCCGGCAGCTGCCTTCAGGAACATTTCATTCGAAATTTCCCTCGCGCGATCGAGAAGCGACGCGATATATTCCGCTATCTAAGTGTGTTCAGAGACTTGTATAGTAAAATATAACATAGAGAACATACCACTTCATGTGCCAGGCGCTCAGCGAATGCGAGCAGAACACCAGCTTCTGGTGGGAAGACGTTAACGGCACGAGTGCCATGCTCCTCAAGAGCCCTCAATACATGTCCCATGAAGGCATCCATAGCGTCGAAATCTAGTTGTCCATCCTCTCTGTGACGAACATTTAGCGCAACAAAATGAGAATAAATCGGTGTCCTTACGTGAAGTTCTCTAATGGATCCCATTTGCTCTGGTCGTAAAATATTTCACGCTTGTCTGCCCATGCTCGAGCAAGTTCCCACCTGTCAGGAGGTCCATCCCAAATATCCCAACTTGCCTGAGAAGTCTCCTTCATATTGGCTTCGTCATTCTTACTATCGCTTGTGTCAAACGCAGTCATTAGACCGTCGTCAAAACGGTCCTTGGCAGCACGTAAAGCGGAAGACAAATTCTGCCATTCTCGGACGGGTTTCACGCGAAAAGAAAGGAAAGAAGATAGAACGCGGAGAGTATGTGCTTGATGACTGAGGGAAGGTGAAGGCGAAGGGAACAGTGTAGACAATACAGCATGTGGCGCGCCGGACAACGCAGACAGGAGTGGTTTAAGCAAAGTGTGTGCTCGTACATATTGAGAGCGGTAGTTAGGCTTTGGGGGAAATGATGCGTCTGGCAAAGGGGAGTGCACTGCGTGAGGAGGGAACGCGCCCACGAAGTCCCCCATCTCATCTTTCGGTGCATTCACCGACGTGAATTCACCGAAGTCATCTTCCGCATCCACTGCGAGGGTAGGAGGTGCATTCTCCTTGAGGAGACCATTCTGAGCTTTGGAACGATTCTCGAGGTCATCAAGCACGGTTGGGAGGTTGGGGCTATGGGAAGTAAAGTGATTCCACCGTACTTCCCAGACGCGTTCATCTTTGGCAAGATTCGCAAAAGCTTTTGAAGCTCTCGAGTACGCGGAAAGGTCAGGTACAGACAAGTAAGTGAGTATAAGGATGTGAATGTCGACTGGCAGGCGACCAATGATCTGGAACGGCGCCGGGGCTTTGGCAGAAGGAAGGCGGGAGTTTCGTGAAGAGGCTTTAAACGTAGAAGATGAATTATAAAGTTTTACAGGTTCAAGAGTAGCGAACCTGTCCATGTGGATGAGCAGTGGTACGGGGTAGAGGTACCGTCGTATTCTAACCTTAGCCGCCGAGGATAAGTTACGCGCAGCCCCGATCATTCTGGAATCACTACGCAATCCGGGGAATATATAGCTCTACGCTACTTTCTACAATACATGGTCCATGGGTGCAAAGCACGTAAAAGAAATGTCCGTCGAAAACCCATAATACACAATTCGCAGATCTACTGCGGCACAGAGGCCAATAGCCGGCTGAAGCTAGGCAAATAGTGCTCACATATGGACGAAAAGTAGAATTCGTGCTCGGAGTTGTGAGGTTGGACCAGGTTGTGAGCTATCTCATGTGCCAAGGTGAAATACCTACAAAAACAGTCAGACAATCCTCGGGAAACAGATCAATAATTCCCACCATGAAATATAGGCTTTAGAAAGGTCGCCATTGCGGACCTCTGCATCATCTGAAGTCAATAATGGGTCAGCGTATGAATGCCGTAAATATATCATTCAATACGTACGCCATGTTTCAAAGAATCTGAGGTTGAGGAAAAGACTTGCATTGCGATTGAAAGCAATGACTTCCCCTGCAGTATCTACGAAGATATGCACACTAGTAGGCGGCAACCCGTACACGCCAATCAATGACCGAGTAACATGGATGAACCGCGCAAGAGCATCATGTTTTGTTGTCATAACAGAGGAGGCGTTCTGCACATCTGTACATTGCGTTAGACCGTGAGAAGCTGCTGCTACAGATGACAACTCACCTTGAGCAGCGAATACCTTCATCCCACCCATTTCGCCTGAGATCGAGGTGAGTAATTCAAGAAGAACGTTAGCACGATCTAGTCACACCTAGTAAGGTCAAACTTCCCGCACGACCCGAAATATCACAGTATCCCTCGTTCGTTGCTTCTTTGACCATTTGCATCTGAGAACGATTGTGTAAGACCTGGTTATTTTCCTCGCGGCATGCCTTGACAGCCATGTCGATATTTGCAGCTGACGAATGACATGAAACACTTGGACACCACAAACTGTTAGAGATGCTTACATATAGCGGACCATGGCGTAACCCCCGGTTGGGGAGTACGTGTTCGAGAGCCGGGTTGAGGTGTGGGTGAAGGTGACCCAAGCAGCATACCGGAGGCGTCATCTCGCAAATTAGAAGGTGAGCCAGGACGAGCATCCGAGGTACTTGGCATTCCTTGATGACCATCACGTTGACCCGTCAATTTGCGTTTCAAGTGGCTCAAGGAGTTGTGGAACACGGATGGTGGCCGTGGCGCTGGTCTGTCTATGTGTAAATCGGCGGATGACGCAGTGGAAGGAATTGGTCCTTTTTCCGGAACAGGCAGAGCAACACTGGAGTCTGCAGCTAGTTGTCCGTGGGTCGTAGGCTGAGAAGCGACTCCCACAGCACTTTCATTGGAAGGTGATACTAATGCCATCTGTCTCTCCCGTTCACGGACCGCATCCTCAGCAGCTTGACGCTCTGCTTTCTGTTTGCGCAAAATCCTATCGACTAGTCACCGACATGATTCTTCAGTGACTGTATCAAAGTATGAATGAAGAGGACAAACCATTATATCCTCTACGTCTTAGGGCTCTAAGGTCAGTCGACAGAATCGTCATGAACAACAACGCATCGCTGGCTTTCGGCGAGTCGAAGAGCAATCGACAGATCGAGGTAGAGACCTCATACATGTCTATCAAGTCGTTCCCAGACAGCCATAACTGTATTGCTCCTCGACCTTCCTGCATAGCTACCGCTGACGCGTCTTGACTCTTGGAGGCGGAGATTTGTCCAAAATTGAGAGTTTTGACTACGGCGATCTTTCCAAAGGTCCGAACCACGAAGTTCTGCTCGTTGTTGAGCCAGGTATATGGGACCTTTGTTTTCGCATGACTATGCTCATGTAAGAATAATGGTAAACGTTCTAGTATGAGGGAGCGAATTTCTTGTGCCTTCTTGGATCCTCGTATTTCCGTGCCCGTTCTGAACTTTTCCCTGACAAGACTGCTCAGACGCGGAGAACCCAGCTCAATGTAGAAGTCTAGCGAAAGGTATGTGAAATCAAGCATTCATGCTAAACATGATATCCTACCTTCAAGGAAATCCTCCTGAGGTGCGGCAAAAAGGACATCACCGAAATGCTGGTAGGCATTCGTGTCATCGGCGATGACGATTTGATTTGGGCGCATCAAATCGTATTCAAAATCCCAGTTGTCTTCGTCATCAAGGTCTACAAAAGTGTCCTTGCTGTCTTTCTTGATTTTCTTCACTCTACGAGAACCTAGCAGAATTGGATTTCGTTTCATGCGGGTTAGGATCCCTGTTGAGATCAGGCGACGGTTGACCGCGATATTGCGAAGCTCAATGAGGTAGCTGAAAAACAAAAGAGGATCAATACAACCCATATAACACAAAACACTAGCCTACTTATCCCGCCCATCAGCAAGTTGGTAGAACCGGCGAGGATCATCCACTAGAATCTTGGCAATTTCCTCCACAGATGGCTCATGTTTTGTACCACATTGGCTAAGGAAGATGTTGCCAGGGCCAAAGTCAACGAAAACAAAGAGCTTTGAATGAACTTGGGCATTAGACTGTCCCTTGAAATAACACTGATTAGGAGGGAGTAATCGAGTGGACGAGCCAGATTTTTCGCCTGCCGGCGCAGTAGCCAGAGGTACAAAAGATGTCTCCGAAAGTGTTCTCAGCTCGGCTGAAGAGAAATCTGGTGCCAACGTCTCAACATATATGAAGAATAGACGAAAAACTCATCTTACCTGAAACACGGCCAGCCATGGCCTCAAACCAAAGCTGAGCAGTCTTCTCATCCACTGGAGGGGTATTCTGCAGCAGTTTGACGAGCATTGAGGTTGGTGGATGTTCATTGATCTGCAACTTCGCTAGATCGTCACGGTGCAAATTTGGATCAGCAACCGCAAAGCCCAATGAAGACCACATGATACTGGTAAAAACCTGGAAAACTGGGATGAACATCCTGAATATATCCTGAATGGTAATCCTACCTCGGTCGGTTTTGCCATGAAGCGTTGACCATCCTTCATAGCCGGAACGAATGCTACGTGAGAGTACTTTGTAGGCGAATAATCGCCATATTTCGTAGACGCATTATCCAGGAAATAGCGCAAGGCAACAGCTCGGACTTTACTGTCCGAACTCGCCGCCAGCCCTAACAAAACATCCAAGGGCGGGTACCGCAAGAGACCGAGATTGTAGAGGAATTTCGCTGGAATCGCAATATTAGACGTGTCCAGAACTGGAGAGTCCTGAGACCTACCTTCGTCGGAATTGGGGCGCCATTTTGTCTTTGTACCCCAATCGAGGATTGGCAAGCCAAGTTCTCGCAGACTGTCAACAGGTTCGTATAATTCACTCGCCTTGCCTCGAGGGATTTTCCCTTTGTCCGTGGCGGCACCAGCCTCCATGGGAAATGCGGCAGTCAACCGCAAACGTTCGAGCTCTTCCCACGAGAGCGTCGATTGTACTGCGACGAGGTACTTCACCAGTTCTGACGTTGACCAATCACCGGTCTTGATCATTCTGCATAATCATCATTGCATGAAATCCATTGTTCAAAATGTGAATCATACCTATTGAAAACAATTTGTAGATCAACGTGTTTGCGGACTCCAAGTGCTTGTAAGACTTTCTCTAGCATGCCCCTAACGGGTGCACCAGAAGGTAAAGTGACAATAGGCAAATCGGAGAAAACATGAGCTGTTTGGAAGTATGCCTCCTCGGGTCTTTGCAAGCCCATAGACGTCGGTATACACGCCTTCTGGCGAAGCACGGCAACAATCCCGTCTATCAACGTTTTCGGCGAGGATGGCCAGGCGCGTGCCAAAATGTTGAGTAATCGTTCAGCAAACGGCGCTGAACTCGTAGGGTCGTACTCGGGATTGACTGCTGTCACTTTCTCATCCAATAGATGTTGCAACCATTCGAGGATGGTCAACTCTCTCCACGCCATCGCCGATCCAAGACTTACCGGATTGAAGCGTTGGCTAACGCTGACAGGAAGAAGATGGTCAGGTAATGGTCCATCCGTAGGTATTAGTGCTCCCGTTCCACGAGTGTTTAGAAAAGTGTTGATACTGTGCAAAGGAATGGTCTTCTCCTCCGGGCTTCCCAGCTTTCCCGTTACCAATATGGCAGTGTTAATGAGCTCGGTGCGAACGCGTTGAATTTGAGTTGCACTAGTGCTACCTTCCGTATACACGCCAATCCACCATTTCAGACATGCGACGAGCTGTAGGCGGTGCCAACATATGAGAGTCGAGTCGAATGTGCGGAATAAAAATGGGATACCTCCTCTTCCAGAAGGGGTCTAGCCGCAAGTTCTTTGGTGACGTCCGAAAAATTGATGTCTGGTATCATCCCTCTGTCTTTCAAGGTCCCAACAATCTTCCTGGCTTCCTCTAGGACTTCCTCAGGTATGACCGGCAATTGTTTCAAGAACGAAAATGCCTCATTGGGCATACGAATGTCGTACGCATTGCAAACTCCAGCTGTCGAAATCATCGGGAATGGAGGTGGTGTTGAAGCTCCGAGGAAGGCAAACCCCTTCGCGATACCACAGGCAAAGAACGCTTCTTCGAGAAGAGTAGATACCTGAGGCGCAGGTGTGGACGCGTAGAAGGTGAAGAACTTGAGTGCGTGCAATGCTCTAGCCCGCAGCCAGGTCCGAGTCTCAGTATCACCTTCGGTGGAATTAGTCCATAGATTGTTGATGTTGTCCATCTCAACTTCGTAAGCGGTACGAGCGAGGTATCCACCCATGTCAAGAAGTTCCTCGTTCCATACTGTCGTGAGAGCTTGAATTCGAGAAAGCCAACACATCGAGAAATTTGACACTCACCTCGCACGTTACGGTCGCTTGAAAATGTACGAGACAGCTTGAGTAATGTTTTGCAAGCAAAAGGAAAAGCTCGAGCTCACACAAGGTCGATGGATTCTCGCTCTACAGTAGGGATGAAGCGACCGGACATATGTCCGCCAAGACCTGTCGTTTGGCCCGTTGTGTGACCCTGTAGTACATGTGTCAAGAACTCACTCGGCACACAGAACAATTATCGCTTACTATAAAGATACGTGCAGTGCCATTCCTGCGCAACACTTCAGTCGTGAACGCGAGGTACATCATACACCCACCTACCCTTCTATGTCAGCCCTCAGTCCTTGGAAGATACTGCCTGTTGCCTCAGGCTCTTGTTCATCTTCCCTCTTACTTGCTTCATACTCATCCTTGCCAGTCTGGCAAGACAGCAAGGAAGAAATCAGAAGGACGTATCGAAAGAAAAAATGTTAGACGCACGAATATGAGTTCCAGTCTTGTCCTACTTGGAGGGGTTTTCTTGGTTGCTCGTAGAAGTTCTTTTCTAATCTTCTCATCTAGCGAGACATTAACGTCCGCTGAGAATACCGTGAGTACCACACTTCTATCGGCCATCTGAGTCAGTTTCTTCTCTTCTTCAGCATCTTTGGCCTTCTTCTCCGCTTCAAGCGCAGCTTGGTCAGCTGGAGGAAGAGGCTTAGGTGTTCGAGCTGGGGTTGCAGCAAAGGACGAGAATAGGGATGAGAAGAAGCCAGAAGCAACCGTGGTAGTTGTCTGAATCGTATTGGCCTTCGTGATACTGTTGCGTTTCGGCTTCGACGATCCTGAGACATATACACATCGCATGACTTCTGCTTTGATGTGAAGTGCTGGATGGTAATGTTAGAATTCAAGATTTTAGACTGCAGCGGGAAACCTTACGGGTAACCTCAACGCCAGCCACTCGCATGGTCCTCTTAGAGCTATCAGGCTTGAGAGTTGGCTTCATATTCAGGGTCCTGGGGACGCCTCTTTCCCTCCGAATCTTTGCTAGGAGCTTTCCATCGAGTAGCACACTGACCTGGGTGAGATGTGCTACGAAGGTGATGGACGATGTCAAGAAACGAACGAAATCAAATGGAGTAGGCATCGGAACAGGTTCGCGAAGAGGCATAGTGAAGGAAGTCCAAGGGTCCGGTTCTGACGCCTCTGGTATTGTGCCACGACGTGCATAAAGCTGATGATACTTAATACTAGAAGACATGATGGAAAGGAGACAAATACCTGGTCCTTCTTGTCCTTCCAATAGAAGCCCATCCATTGGCCTATCCAATAGGACTGAGCGACAACATGATAAGGAACAGAATGGACTCACTGCCGGACGTTACGAATGGCTCCTCAGTGACCGAGAAGAGACTGTAGAACCCTAGAGTCTCGTTAGAAAGCAATTCCTCGATCACTACCGACCACCTACCTACGCCAAAAGCTCCAATTTTCTCCTCATCCGGGTTACCCTCCGCTGCATAGAAACTAATCAGAACCATTGGTCTGATTCAATGCTGCCAACGCATACCGATCTTCTTGAGTCGACTCCAGTCTTCGTCTCGGAATAGCATACCATCGTTCTTGAAAGTCCATTGATGAATCTGAGCCCAGCCCAATCAAAATAAGGAGTGGAGATCAACTTCAAAAACTTCAATATTACCAAAGTTGTTTTCAAATCAGGAAGCCGCCAGTTCTCCTCGGATCCCTGCGTATTTGCGTCAGCCTCATCGGTCTTTCTGTCGAGATAGGACTTCGTCTTAAAATGGATCTCGACCCTCTTTGAACCGCTATCTGACGAGTTCTGCAGTAGTTCACGAAACACTATATGAGAACAGATAAACACAGTGTATGGAAGAAAGTCTGAAGCATCCCATACCTGTAAACTCGCCCGAGTATCGAGCAAGGACCTTGTCGATCAAGGCTCTCTGATTCACTTCTACAGATTCATCGTGTCCGCTCTCCCACTGTACAAAGAATTCAAAAATTGGCGTCAGAACAAGCATAACATAGCGACGTACCAACGCTTCACGATGTGTCATAGCACCGAATCAAGCCAAAGTAACACCGCGCAAGCCCTGATGTTGACTTTACGCCCTCACTATAGGCCACTACTAAAGAAGGTGCTCCAAGCACGATGTCTCTCCCTTCCAGCTAGTACTACAAAAGCGAGAAACCAAGGGCAAGAAGAAAGTTGAATTATGACGGATCCACTGCTTGGCTGGTTGAGCATCACGCATCCCAGCTACGGAAGCACGTGGCGATCGATCGCTGTGATCTAACTTGAAATCTTGGCCACTCATGTTCCCGCGTGACAATCCAGTGAACGACTCGAACGAACGGCGGAGGAGCATGGTATGAATTCATATTCATCTTCTTGTGTTGTTCTGAACAACGCCGACATTGTGTATTAGATACGTGTACACCTGTTTTTTTTTCCATCTCGCACAGATCTTTATCCCATGCTTGCGAATCTCTCAACAGTTTACAAAACATTTCGCGACGGGCCTACATCGGACATCTCGTGGTCTGAACAGCATGATATGAGTACGACATTTTGAACGTGCCTAGTGATGAGATCACACAATTGGCTTCCCTTTGAGACTACAAGTTAACCGACCATCAATTCAGGTGTTTACCTATTGACGCTGCTCCGAGAGTCTTTTGCTGTGAGACACTCGCTAAAACTAGTTGTCACCCACGACCACATGAAGGTCGTAATCACCTCTGTGAAGGCCACTTTAGAAGTGATTTTACGTCAAGTCGGGACTGGGAAAAAAGTGGAGGGCTGGGAAGAACACGTGTGTTATGTCCTACAGGAGAATTTGTCGTACACAACATTCAAGGTGAGCTCACCCTTGTCCCGTTATATGAATGCATCAAGCGTGGTCTTCCTTTTGACGAAGCCGCCTATGAATGGCATGTCACCTTGTGCCACCCGTCCTTCTACCTTTCCACTGAGGACAGAGGCATAGAGAAGTAGCGGGTGGGCAGGGAAATTTGATGGAAGGGAACGGTCACCTAACATTCGCACCGACAGGGCCATAGTCGATATGATTAGTCCGGCCTGCGTTCATGACAGACCTACAAACGGTATACTTCGCAATTCTCGCCTCGAAAGTTAGCGTATAGTATCACCACTTTCCCACACCCATACTCTTCGCTTCCCTGGTAGTCCAAAAGTCCCGGATATCACGCCATAATTTCCAAACAAGTGAATGAAATAAGAGTAGTCTAAATGCGAACAATGTCATACAAGTTCTCATGATGATAAGAATGCAAGGAACTTGAAAAGACCCCAAATGCAACCTCCAGAAAGGATAGGTAGGGTCAAATTGTCATCTAACGATCCCAAATCTACACCCACCAATCCATAAGCCACAAGAGCCTCAACGAACAGAAGCAACGTGGTACTCACCTAATGCCTCAGCAACCCCAGAGATAAGCCCGCCCACAACACTGATCAAGCCAAGCCCTGTCCATCCGGCTAATAGCTTCGAAGCGCCATCGGCACCGTCAACCACATTGTTCAGAGGACCGTTGGTCCACGACCACATTGGTTGATCAGCGCCAAAGGGAGCTATCCAACCCCAGAAACTAGCAACGATACATGCGCCAGTGATTGAGCCAGCAATGAATCCAGCAACAGATTTTCGTGCGGCAAGTGGGAGGCCAAAAATACGGCGGGGCAGAGGGGGCGTCAACGAGCCCCACAAGCGGCCGATAGTGGAAGCAGCGGTGTCGGCCCACGACAGACTATTGGAAATGGAACCTATGTCAGAAGCGGGAGATAAGGAAGAAGAACTATACGCACATGAGAATAGATACAACAGCCAAGTCAAGAGGGTATACAGAAAGAACAAAGATTACACCTAGAATATACCAGATTACACCGTTCGTGGTTTTCTGTTGTCACACGACCTCGAATATTAAAGAGGAGCGATAGCAAACATATACATCATGACCACTGACCTTTTCGCTTTCTCGCATCAAAAAGCCCAAACATTTCTCGTAAACGCGTTCAAAACCCGGCACGTTTAGTCGAAGAACGTCAGCGGGCACGATCACAGCTAGTGCGGTGCCGAGCGCGACAACGACCAATCGCGCTGAACCATGTGCGAGATAAAGATATAGAGTTAAGAAACCTATGTCCCAAATGAAATTAATATGAAGAAGGATACAAGACAGCACCTAGCGTACCGATAGAAGAATGCAGGATCTTGCGAGGAATTTCCCAATCCACAGGGGTAGGAGCCTTCGCCTTCTCTAGCCTTCGTACTTCCATCTTCTCAACCGACAACTGTACCGAGTGTCCATTGGCCTTTCCGTTGGCATATCCGTTGGCGACATGCTCTGGAGGGGAGTCGAGAAAACCGTCCGCTACACCATTGCTCATTGACCGGCGAGTACTGACTTTTTTCCTGGGCCGGACAGTGGAGTTAGGACTAGCTGGATAGTGCACTGATGACTTCGGACTAGATTGTTTGACGAAGGGTATCTTGGGTGAATTTGAGCGAAGAGAAAGAGGATAACTGGAGCGGTTGGAATCGTGGGTCAGACCAAGGGTCAAGGCGTCATTAGCGGGGAGGGTCATCAGGGTCTGTTACTTGTAGTAGTGTAGAGTCACGTCTAAGAGGGCTTTATTGAGGAGAGACTGGGCATGAAGAGTAGGGTATGGGTTTTGAGGGAGGGAGGAGAAGAGAGGCAAAGGTTTCTGGTGATCTTGGCCACGCGTGTTGGCACAGCTGCCGCGTTTGTTTTCGGCTTTCCAAATAATCACGTTCTGCCGCAGTGCCTTTCGTCTTTGATTCGGAGATGTGCTCATAGGGCAAATCCAGCCAAGAGAATCCTTATCGCTTGGCCAAATGTTTGGAACCAGACTGAGTATTTTTGGCTTGTGTTGCATCTTCATATCTCTTTGCAAAACTGGACGAACCACCGAGCGAGATATCTCACACCAAAACACAAAATATCAAAAACAAGCTGCCCAACCTCGGCAGATAATCATGTATTAAAAGCACATGAAGGCCATAGTGTTTTGAAAGCCTGCCCTACAGGCGCACATGAAAGAAACATACATCTAGTACACGTAGCCCAAAAGCTTGCCACCAACGTTCTTGCGACGAGCTTCCTCGTGGTCAAGGATACCGGAGGAGGTGGTCTAGGCGCACGGATGTTAGCATTATAGCAAGCAGTACTGACGGACCTAGAAAAACGTACGAGGATGATGATACCGAAGCCACGAGCAGGAAGCAACAAGTTGACCCAGGTCTCGATCTGGGAGACCTGGACGTTGTAACGAGGAGAAATGACTCCAGTCTTGTTCAGACGTCCGTTAAGCTGAACGACTATTTTGTTGGAGCGATGATCGTCAACAATCTCGAACTCGCCAATATAACCTAAAAAAATTGAAATTGGTTGGTTAGCTATTTCGAAAAATACACAATACGTGAGAGAGGAAGATGTGATCTCTCCAGTGAACTCAAATCCATGAAAAAGAAAAGGGAAGTGGGTTGTATTGGTTTATAAGATGCAATCAATTTTTCGGAGCCTTAAAACAAACGGCACGTAGAGGCACAACCGCGTCGTTCGTAGTTATAACTCCGAGAGAAAAGGAAGCAGAACAGAAAATGAAAACAAAACAAAAGGAGCATTTCAACAGAAGAGACACTCACCATGTCGCTGCATGACGGAGAGGAACTTGATGATGACCTTCGAGGAAGGACGAATAAGGACCTGACGTTTGCCCCTGCGCTCCGCATTGACAATGTTGTTCTAAAGCAACGTTTGAGAAAAAATTCGAACAGAACCTGGAATCGTGAACTTACGAGGCAGTCGTTCTACACCATTAATTAGCATAAGCCCTTTGCAAATACGAACATGACAACTCACCAGGACAGAGACGCGAACCATGGTGACAGATGGAAAGGTGGTGTGGAGCCCGGGAAACTACACGGAGTGAAAGAACAGGAATGAGTACCTAAAGCTCGTCCGAGTGTCGTGCTACGGAAAGCGCGAGTCAAGACGAGCATGTTTATGCCGGCTGAAGAGCAAATTTTCCATCTCTCAACCAGGCAAAACCAGATAGTCGTCGTCGTCGAGTGCCGTATTCCGTAGATCACAACCAGCGGTGGTATTCAAAAGCAGTATTATTCACCTTTGCCTTGTGAAGAGGGGGTCTTGAGGTGATGGAGGAGCTCGATTCCAGCAAAGCCAACAGCACACAATGCAGACCACACACGGCCGGTGTTTGCCGGTAGCGGCAGGTCCGTTCTGTATAGGACCATTTCAGCCACCCGGCACGTGCCGGCACCCCGCCTAGCGTCTGCTACCAGTTGTCGCCCGTCGCAGGTGAAGTCCTCAAGCTCAAACCCTCGCCGCCGTCGACAATCAGCAAGTCATCATGGCAAGTTGCTGCACCGTCTTGGACCGATCTGGAGGCTGAACCTATGTCGGATTTCTCTAGGGTCGTGTTCGCACCAAAACCACCAAGAGGGCCTCCCGTGTTCTCATCGAAAAATAGTGAGTGTCATCATTATGGTCATGAATAGTTTTGGAGGAAGTGGAAGAATGCATGGTGGAAGGTTGTAGTGGACAAATATACTGACTACATCTGCTCAGCTACCCCCGTCTCACCCTTGATTTCCACACCAACAAGCGTATCATCGATGAAGTCGTGCGTTACACTATGCCGATTGTCCTCCTTTGCTGGCAAATTGATTTCTGGTCCGAATAGGCTGTTGTCCCCTCAAAACGTCTGCGCAACAAGGTCGCTGGCTTCACGACTCATTTGATGAAGCGTATCCAGAAGGGACCCGTCCGTGGTATTTCCTTCAAGCTCCAGGAGGAGGAGCGTGAGAGGAAGGACAGCTACGTTCCCGAAGTCTCTGCCCTTGACACCAGTGTCAATGGTCTCGAGGTTGACCCTGATACCAAGGCGAGTGTTTCGTGCCGTTCATGTTCTCGCACGGACAGTATTGACATGTAATTCATACAGGAACTTCTCAACGCATTGAATTTTGAGTCTGTTACTGTCAACGTTGTTGCTCCTGTCGTTGCTACCGTCGACCGTCGGGGTCCGCGACGGAACGTTCCTGGTGCCGCCCGATCGTAATTCAGCCCATCCAACGCCATAGTATGTTATGCCCACATGCCATGTATTGCTGTATTGCCCTCCACCCAGATTTTTTTTCTCCGTGACATCCGCCTCGCCTTTGGCATGATTACTTGCCTCGCTCTCGATTCAATGCATAGCTTTCCGGAAAAAACGCTTGGGCAACTGGCTGAAATCGGTGACAGACTGGTCTCTCCGCTGACGCCATTTTGACCGGTATTGCAATGCATTAAAGGTTGTGATAGGTATTCATATAGTAAAGATATCCATGTCTCTAAATATCTGAGACGAGTGATGTCCTCCCATTCGTACATACAGTACAAGGTCCGCTCCCAAAATGCTGCGCGCTGTTATTGAAATTACAGCGATAGTGTCCTCTCCGCCTCACCGTTGCTCTGCAAACTCAGCAGCAGCAACAGGGAATAGGGATGATCCAGCAAATACCCCCCTACGTCGTAACTTCAGCTTTTTGCTTTCTTCACATTGACAGACACACGTACAGGACAAGGAATACATCCTCCTCGGAGGCGCTCAGCCTTTTCAGTTTCCTCGTTTTGCCCACCCTGTGGGGTCATACCCATCGCAGGTTTAGGTTGTGAAGAGATGACAGTTTCTTCTGCTCCATCAGGCGAAATATGCGCCGTCGGTGGGTATGTAATTGTTTCAGTCGAGGATGGTGACATTGTTGTAAGCCTTAGAATAACGTCTGGTATCGGACAGTCGTGGAAATCGACAATTGAGTGGATGATTTGGTTGTGGGGTATATATATACGGTGGTCTAAAGAGCGGTATCTATGCGGTTGGGCCTTATATGTATTGCGGCAATATGCATGCGGAGAAAGTGCCGCAGCAGCTGATATCATAAACCCCAGTTCGGGGTTACGCATTCGAGGCTATCCGCTCTTGGCAACTTTCCAAGTTCCAGATGTTGGCATCGACTCAGTGAGTGGGCTAAGTAGCTCCAGTCGCAACCTGTCTAACCCGAGCGTATTAACTCCATTCAAATGGACCTTATGACCGGTTCTCATTGGGATATGTGCCTCAGCATGGGGCTGGTAGTTCTGGGCCGCAGTCGCTAGTGATTGCGATACGGTTTCGCCCAGCATTCCTATGCCACGAATATTCTTATGCCTATGCTGCTTTCTCTAGCATTGATTGTCGGCACAAATAAGTCCGTTTTCCAATGGACAAAGGTGTGTAAAATTTCGTTTCAACAGTGATAAACTGATCGCATATTGTCACTTTGGCATGCTACATATGTCTCACTCCGCTTTTTGAGACATCCGCGCTTCCGCATTGTTCACTATCTCGCTAACGTTGCTCAACAGCGTGATCAAACTGTACCTGAGTATTTACTTCCTAGGAAGCGGATCTGTTTGTCAAATGCGGATCTGCTGAAGCGGACGTGCTGCTAGATTGAATTAGAGGCCATGTTCCCCCGATTGGCGCCCTCTCTCCTCCCTGCTCGGAGGCATACGCGACGCGTACGTTTTCGTTGTTCTTTGTCGTGTTCGATATCGAAAATGCACAGTGAGTTCGGCTTACTGTCTTGGCCAGCTTCCTGTAATTGTAGTACTCCAGCCTACCTACGTCGATGAACGATGGTTCGTACACATATACTTGGTATATGGTCTGGAAAGCTTATTATAAAATTAACTGCTGAACTCCATTGTGAGCACTTTTCAATTCTCCTTCGTTACGTGACGTTTGACGATGTCTCACCGCAATTAAAGGTCACGGGCATGAAGTAGTAACTCCCTATGTTACCCGCTCTCAAAGGGATCCTACTTCATACGCCCACAAACCGAACATCCTTCCTCATCTGGACTCCTCGTACCAACCGAGTGGTGCATGAGCCACTCGTGAGGCACTCGTCACCTTCTGCATCAGGCAAGACCCTCCGACGAATGGCATCCCATTGTGCGCCCGGTCCATATATGGCAAGAAACAATCAAGTGTACCAGCTACCCTTTTAGGAAGCAATCCACGAGTGGCGATCACAACCAGGAGGCGGGACGGGTTGGGGTATAAAGGAGAGTGGTTGTTCGCCCTTTTTACCTCATTCCTCAACCACTCTGAACTCTTCTGCATCCTCTCTTCCCTACCTTCCCCCCCTCCCCCGAGCTTTTTCATCCTCCCTTCACTATCCTAACATCGACACGACTATGCCTGCCCACCGTAGCAAGAAGCCTGTTAAGGAAAGAACCATCGCGGGCAAAACACACTGTTGTGGGCCACGGCAGTTCACAGACCCTAGAGTATGCACTATCCTCTCAGATTGACTTTCCACGGATGGCTGATATACACATAGACTGACGGCCATGATTATACCGTCACTTGCATGATATGCAAAGAAATTTGTAATGATAGCCAAACGGCCTTAAGGCACTTAAGGGCATACATGAATGGCAGGTACGTACGGCGGCATTGATGATACTCTATCCACTCTCACCCCCTCACTAACACTTACCCATTCCAGGTCCTTGGGGTGTTTCTGGCCCGATTGTGATCGCTATCATGTACCCCTTGCCAATATAGACTGTCTCATTGTTCACTACCGTGGCCAGTATGTCCTCTTCAATCGACTTCTCAGGGTTCTGTTAATTGAATCTTTCACAGTGCAAAAATATACGACCACTGCAGGCACTGCGATCTGTATTTCTCGCATGATCCTTCGCTCCTCAGTCGCCATGAGAAAAATCGACATCCCAAAGAATATCAGTCTAAGTTAGTTATACGAAAAGCCCACGGCACCCCAATCAAGTCATCTAGGAAGTCATCTAGGAAGTCATCTGGGCCAAGTCGTTCACCCTCAGCCGTGCCTTCCGAGACACCTTCCATCGATTCAGGCTATTATTCTGCCTATAGCTCACAAGCTTCTTCCTCGTCGACTACCCTGGATGGAACTTGGGAAGGCGTTCCATCTTTCTTGCGTGAAAGTAGTGTCGATACGCCTTCATTCCCAGACGCCCCTGTCTTCCCAACACCAGACTTGCTGGCAGACCCCCCTATCATTGAACCCGAGGCTTTCTATGCTCCGACTCTGTATTCCATGTCGCGATTACATTCGCCACCTCCGTCCGATACGTACAGCGGCCACGGCTTTGCAGAGGAGCCATTCTACGATTCATCACAAACCGATTCTGTGTTTCTCAACTTCGATAGCGAGTTTGAGTTCGGAGGAAACCCCGCGTTCTATCCATCCTTCAGTCCTCAGTCATCGTATGCCGCCCTCGATGCATATGACGACCTATCGTACCGCGGCGCAGAGACCTTTACTTGGCCCTCTTTCCCTCCTCCTTATGGAGGCTTCTAAGATCACTTCTCCGGTTCTGTATCTCTTCCTTTCTCTGGTGTATACCTCTTCCACTCTCATCTCATACCCACCACCCTGTATCATGTTAATTTTGTCTTTTATTAAGTTTCATTTTGTGTCGATAGTCATTTTGCATTCTTAGAGCATTCTTAGAGCTCTCTGTATCCCCTGTCGTCATTTCTGTTTCTTTGTGTAGACATGTACGTTGGTCTATAATCTATTGGTGTCCGTATCTCCTCTCTTGGCCCTGTTTCACGAGGCTCAGAACTGGTCTGTTGGCCTGAACAACGGGTCGAGACTACAAAGAGATCTGCGAATGACGATCGAGGCCAATGCGAAGGTCAATGGCAGGTCAATGGTACGTCGGAAAAGGTACGATCTGAGATCTAGGACACTGAGCGCTGAGATCGGAGGCTTGGCCCTCGCAACGTTTGGCCTTTGACTGCGATTGACTTTCTTTGCCTTCATTGACCTTTCCCGAGATCTATTGTCGATTATCCAGTGAGCATTACGCTGGACCGTCTCCTTTACACAGTACATCCTCAATCGTCTTCACACATGATCGGCGATCAGCATGAGCCGAGAAATGCGGGGACGTGGGTGACCGAGTCTTGCTGCGGTTGACCATACGCATCCCTGCCGTGCTCTTAATATCCCCTTATTCCTTCCTCATCACCAGCCTGCGGTTATCGTTTTGCGAACGTGTCCTGCATCATCCTGGACGACTAGTGATTCCGGTGAAGGCGTATATAGGGCCGTACAGTCATCTTTCTTATGTGATTGGCCCGCGATATTCAATATCATATTCGAACTATATATACTTTGCATCCTGTTCTATCTCTCCTCGGCGTAGCTCTCAAAGTCAACGTCTTCTGAAGCCTAATCAACATGGGGATCCTCATTCTTGCCGCATTTGTTGCCCTTATCTTTATTGCTCTCTGGAAAGTCGTTCCCTTCGTTGTCCGCCCTTATCTGTCTCCTCTTCGCCGTCTACCTGGACCACCGAGCCCCAGTTGGTTCTATGGTCACTTTAGGGACATTTTCAAGGCGGAAAACTCGGTTTTGCACGAGAAATGGATCGAGGAATATGGTAATGTGATCACATATGCTGGTTTCTTGAATGTACTTGCCTGTTCAACCCAAAGCTATATGTATCGCACATACTCATCTCATCTCCACGTCAGATCAATCGTCTATATACTCTCGACTCTCACGCTATGAACCACATCCTCACCCATTCCACGGATTTCCAAAAGCCTGAACAGACTCGTTCTACCCTTACCCGACTTCTGGGTGCTGGTATGTTTCTTTGCTTGTCAAGTGTGAAGTCAGTCCTTACGCAATGTTCACAGGTGTTCTTGTAACTGAAGGTATTGGTTAGCTGTCACCATGTCCAAATATCTATCTAATAGGATTCTCGTCAGGCGAACAGCACAGGCAGCAGGTATATCCTCACATTATTGTCTGAAATAGCGCATCTGCTGATATATTTACCGATATTCAGAGAAGAATTATGGTCAGTCATTCTAGTTTCTTCCACTGGTCGAAAGTGCTCATCCAAGTGCTCATAGAACCCTGCTTTCGGTCCCTCCCAAATTCGCGAGCTTACCTCTATCTTTAATGAAAAAGCGCTTCAAGTTCGTCCTTAGTCTATAACGTTTGAACCTTCCACACTCACCTGCCTTCAGCTCCGGGACATCTGGGCGGCTCAGCTCCCTTCCACGGGTGAGGCGAAACGTATCGACGTGCTCAGCTGGCTCAGCCGTGCCACTCTCGACATTATCGGCTTAGCAGGTGCGTTTCCTGAACTATTATCCCTTGTCTTTTCTAAGCATCCTGTGATGATGCTGTGTAGGCTTTAGTTACGAGTTCAATAATCTCGAAGGTAGCAGAAACGAGTTGAACGAAGCTTTCAAGATCATCTTCAACACCGATCAACAAATCCGCCCAACGGCCATCATCCAAGCGCTCATCCCCATCTTGCGTTTTGTCATTGTAACTACCTCTATTGCTGTCCATGTGTATTACTCTGAATACCCCGTCATTCTTTATTTTTGACAGCGGGACGAGCGTATGAAGAATATGGATGATGCCCAGGCTGTCATGCGCCGAATTGGTATGCAACTTGTTGCTGAGCGCAAAGCAGCTGTCCTCGCTGGGACTTCTTCCGGCGAGAAAGGAGGCGTCGAGCGTAAAGATTTAGAGGGTAGGGACTTGTTGACTTTGCTCATCAAGGCGAATATGGCCACCGATATCCCCGAGAGTCAGAGGTTGAGTGACGAGGACGTCTTAGCTCGTGAGTTGCTATCCCATTATTTTACATTCAACGAATTGACATTCATACTACGTGTGATAGAGGTCCCGACATTCTTGATTGCTGGTCACGAAACGACCTCAACTGCGGTGACATGGTGTCTTTATGCTTTAACTCAAGCACCGCGCGTCCAACAGAAACTTCGGGAAGAGCTCCTTAGCGTACCAACAGAAACGCCTACCATGGATGAACTCATGGCTTTACCTTACCTAGACATGGTCGTCAGAGAGACGTTGCGAATCCACGCTCCTGTACCCTCGACGGTCAGGACGGCTGTGAAGGAGGACGTCATACCTGTTGGGGAGCCGTATACGGATCGGTATGGGAACATTCAGAATGAGGTCCAGTAAGTGGATGATTCTGGTTGACTTCTTTATGACGAGGGTTTGAGCTGAGATGGTGCGTTCGTAGTATCCAGAAGGACGACGTGATCATGATACCTATCCTTGCGATTAATCGGTCGAAGAAGATCTGGGGAGAGGACTCATTCGAGTTTAGGTGCGTTTGTTCCTCTTCTCTCAATACGAAGTTCTTACGTGCTCATACATGTTCATATATTTTATGATCATAGACCCGAACGTTGGGAAAGCCCACCCGAAGGGGCTGCAGAAATCCCAGGTGTATGGGGCCATCTCTTGACCTTCCTCGGCGGCCCTCGAGCATGCATCGGTTACCGCTTCTCTCTCGTGGAGTAAGTTGTCTATCCTTACCCTCATCTTCTCCCGACACCTGCCCCGTATCATTTTTGCTAATTGCGGCTTCCGGTTCACAGGATGAAAGCCATCCTTTTCGCTCTCGTACGCGCGTTCGAGTTCGAGCTCGCCGTCAAGCCAGAGGACCTCATCAAGAAGAGCGGGATCGTTCAAAGGCCTGTGATCATCAGCGAGAAAGAGAAGGGAAACCAGATGCCTTTGTTGGTGAAGGCTTATCGGCATGCTTCATGATACGGATTACAAATTCTCTGGTCTACGAATTATCCCTGACCATTGACCGGACCACAGACTACACCACAGACTACCTACAGGCAGAAACGCTTTTGTCATAGGATCACATCTTATGTTGGAATTTGTATCAGCTAATCTGGATGCATTATTGGATTATCTATGCACTTCAGAGTGTTTGTTTCCAGGTCTTGAAAGACATATACAGCAAACACTTCTGGCGGGGTCGAGAACGTCATAAGCACTCTGAGCCGTATCACGAGACGGGGGAGAAGCTTGCGAACTGCTGTCCACTATGAACGTCAATCGCATAAGTGGGAATTTTTGCAGAGTCCCAGGAGTTCAAGTCACAAGATCTCCCAGTTATCTTATGGCCGGGATACACTACTATTAGGACTGCGTGTTCGTACGGCTTCCTCGCCCAACTCCGCATTGTCACCACTAGTAATACACCATTGCTATACAGATTTGGACAAACCGTTCCAGGAACAGGCCTACTTTCAAATTCAACGCAGCTGCCAAGCCTCAATAATACTGCGCCGCTGATCGTGGCACTGGCTCCTGAAAGACCACGTTCTGGGACGCTTGATGATGTTCATGAGCTTGTTTGTCATAGACTGGCTGCCTTGACCTTCCCATACTTCAGCTGGTATTCTACAGCCCTTCAGGCCGACAAGGAAGGTTTGAATTTTGAGATGGTATTCTGGTTATGATAGCTGCGTGTATTGACGTGGGAGCTGCGCGCTATTCGACAGGGTTCTGAGCTACTTGCAAGGCCGAGTAGTCATCACTTTTACATTCTTCGTGGGCCGGCCATCCAGTAGATATAAAAAGCGCTCCTGACGGCCTGCTTCGTTTCCATTGTCATATACTAGGTTGACCAAATTGTGGTCAGCAATGGGCACAATTATTCTCCTGGTGTGTGTTGTCGTATTCATCGTTGGCTCACTGGCATGGAAGCTCCTATCCTTCATTATCGGGTCGTACTTGTCACCGTTGCGATCCTTGCCTGGTCCTCCCAGTCCAAGCTGGTTCTACGGTCACTTTCAGACAATGTTAGCGTCCGAGACTTCCGTTCCGCAGGAACAGTGGGTGGAAAATATGGTAACAATATCACTTATATTGAACTCTTCAACGTGTGTACCCTCTTGACGAACAATCTTTCATCATGTTACAAGCTCATCATCCTTACTAGCTTAATCGCCTGTGGACAGTGGATACGCGAGCTCTCAATCATATTCTCACTCATTCGACCGACTTCCAGAAGACCACGATCACTCGGCGGATGATCACTCAATTTGTTGGTGCTGGTAAGTACCTAAGTAACAGGGCTCTGGCCCGCTGCTAACCCGCTATTCGTAGGGATCCTTGCTACAGAAGGTATGTACATACGTATTGTATACTACAGAGTCCTTCATAATTTCCGTCGGTCACCAGGCGAGCAGCATAGACAGCAGGTTGGTGTCTCCGAGTCTCTACTTAACATAAACTTCGCTCTCTGATGGCTTCATATTTACCACGTCTTTTAGCGTAGGGTCATGGTATGTACCTCGACGTGTCTCTTGTTAAGTGCGCGTCTCACGCGAGTCTCAGAACCCTGCTTTTGGGCCAGCTCAAATCCGGGAGTTGACACCTATCTTCATCAACAAAGCAATTCAAGTGGGTGCCCGGTATCCTTCGGCTACTCTGATCGGCTCAGACATCGTCCATAGCTTCGCGATATCTGGTTGTCTGAGATTTCTCAAAACAATGGATGCAAGCGAATCGACATCTTGAATTGGTTAAGTCGAGTAACACTCGACATCATAGGTCTAGCCGGTATGTTTGCTTTCTCACTTTGGAGTCAGTAGACGGCACTGACAAGGCGGTTTCGTAGGGTTTGATTACGAGTTCAGAAACCTAGAGACTGGTCAACTCAACGAGCTGAGTGAAGCGTTCAAAGTCATTTTCAACGGTAATTCACGGGCACGAATAATCACCCTCCTGAGAGAGTTCATCCCTATACTGAGCATCATTGTGAGCATTCTTTATTATTATTAAAGCTCTCTTCTGTTATGTTACACTTATTGTGAATTAGCCTACTGAACACAGTAGACGTGTGGGCGAAGCGAAACGTGTCATGCATCGTATAGGTATGCAGATGATCGCCGAACGAAAGAAGGCCCTTTTTAGACAGAACACTGCGGACAAAGACATTGTGAAGTGCAGGGATCTTGAGGGCAGGGATCTTCTGACTTTACTCCTCAAAGCTAACATGGCTACGGACATTCCGGCTAATCAGAAATTGAGTGAAGAAGATGTACTGGCTCGTTCGTACACGAACCACTCAGTGCTACAAGTAGCTTTGGCTAATTACAACCTCCTTGCATTGTAACAGAGATTCCGACGTATGTGGTGACTCTAAGACTCCTCTTTCAGTGTTTATCCGGTTTCCCAGATTCCTTGTAGCCGGCCATGAAACGACGTCAACCGCGGTGACTTGGTGTCTTTACGCTCTGACTCAAGCTCCCGAAGTCCAACAGAAACTTCGTGAAGAGCTCCTCTCCGTTCCCACCGAGACACCGACCATAGACGAGCTTAATTCCCTGTCGTATCTCGAAATCGTTGTCAGGGAGACACTACGTCTCTATGCTCCTGTGCCCACAATCGTACGACAGGCCATGAAGGACGATGTGATTCCTGTTGGTGAACCATACACAGACCGGTTTGGTGAAGTGAGGGACGAGATCCGGTAATGTAGAAGGTATTATCTGCAATGTCGATTTGCTCAATGATGATGGGTATAGCATTCGGAAGGGCGATGTGATCATGGTGCCCATTCTTGCTATGAATCGTTCAACCAAGCTCTGGGGCTCAGACGCTCACCAATTCAAGTGCGTGAACAGTAACATATGTTCCAGCTTCACAACTCTGATGTGAACGCAGGCCAGAGCGATGGGAGAAGCCCCCAGAATGTGTTACAAATATTCCCGGTGTTTGGGGGCACCTCATGACTTTCTTGGGCGGACCTCGTGCTTGTATTGGATACCGTTTCTCTCTCGTTGAGTGAGTTGATCAACCAGCCATACTTTCTCCCATTTATCTTCCGGTTCGCTCACAAATAATCTTCAGGATGAAGGCGATACTATTCACATTCGTCCGCGCATTTGAATTTGAGCATGCAGTTCAGCCAGAATCCATCATCAGGAAGAACACTTCCATTCCACGACCTTATGTTTCCACTGAACCGGAGAAAGGAGACCAGATGCCGTTGCTTGTGAAACCATACCGTGTTTCGTAGCCGACTTCTGATACCATTCACATTGGCGGATTAGGCTTGTTGGTGCCGACTCTTGTTAGAAAATCGAATAGGAAGTATTGTGTACAAGATCATATTTTCGATGGACTGTATGTTTGCAATTGGGATAGATACATAAGTGGTTGATGCCATGCTGAACGTTGCTTGATCTGTCTGGCGCTACCATACAAGACAACCAACAAGATAGATGATGCTCCCGTTCTATCCACGCACTACAGCAGCAATGTATGCTGCAGAACCGACTATGGCTCCGCCTACAACCTGACCGATGATCGGCACGGCACCGCCCATGCCAATGCTTTGTACAATGGCAAAACTTGAGCCTGCAACCACATTTCCCATCCCAGCTTGAGCTGCCGCAGCAAGAGAACCTATAGATCGGGCCCTTTAGGTAACCGCTGTGTAGGCATGATGCCATGATGTTGTGCGACATGCTTACCTGCTACAGGCCCAGCAGGACTGAAGCCTACCACGGACACGACAGCCGGAGCAAGCAGTGGGGTGAAAAAGGTGCCTCCAATGACTGCAGCCGATGCTATACGAATGTCAAAGACCATACAACAAAGTCAACAAGACGAAGAAAACATAGGAACAAGCTACTCGCCTGCTATGATATGTGCAATTCGTGGTATTGTTGAAGTGAGGAAGAGGAGAGGAAGTGAGGAGAGGAAGAAGGAGAAAGCGGGACCTGGAAGAGCGAGGTGGTTTACTGCCAATATATATGCAGGATGGTAGACTTCTAGCGCGCGGGGAGATGAGGCGAAACCCTGATGATCATGGAATTGCCTCATTTCACATCTGCTCGTAGCGCGTAACCGAGCCTTCTCGAAATGCACTTCCCGTCGATATTGCGGTTGCAACTACAGCAATAACTTGGCCACGTAAACATCCTACCACGGCAAATAACCGTGCATGCCGCAGGCGTTCAAAGCAGGTATCCTATGATAAGGAGATTCTTTTGGATACTAGTATTGAGCCAGGGCGGTACCGGTGAGTGAGCGACCAACCGATGCTGTAGTATGAGACGCTGAAATGTACGTGGAAACAGCCCTATAATGTTGGGAAAGCATCAAGCAAATCCCCACGTAAACACGTCTGCAATGCATGTCCAATTCGAAAGTGCGTGAACTTGAACTTGAGGGTGAGATAGTACTTATCACTGTCACAGCCAATCCCCTGCATGCCGCGGCCTTCTGAAGCTTCGACCACCTTCCCATCTTCACCTTATGTCACGGCCCGTCTAGTGCCCCTGGGTTTTTGCCAGTTAACGAGAGTGAGCAGAAGTTCGGAGGAGAATGAATTTACGTTCCGACCTGCCGAAGCACATCGACTGCCATTTGTGGCGAGCGACTATCCATTTGTAGACAGTTACATATGCATTTGCTTGTTCTCTTCGGGTGAGGACCGAAGAGACGTGTTTTGAGTGCTATCTGTTGCTATGAACAGGCTGTTAGATACAGTTTTCCTCAAAGGACCGTCAGTGTGAATTACATAAAGTAACGTTCAATGCGTTGATATTGTAACTGGTTATAAACAATTCACGGCCCAATGGTCTAGAGGTAAGATACTTGCTTTGGGGGAATCCAACTCAATTGCAAGGGATCCTGGGTTCAATTCCCAGTTGGGCCCATCTTTTTGGGGTTCCAGCCAGATATACAGCCTATACATATACATATGCGTGTTTGTACGTCGAGTAGCATTTTTTTTTACTTCAATATCGATCCATGGACTATATGCCATCTGTAGATATGTGCGACAATCAAGGTAGATGAGTTACAATTGAAACTGCAGCAGATTGGAAACATCATCCTCATGAGTCTGGATTTCATTCCTCTGATTGTGTACATTGTAATTTATTCTCACCAAATAACCTGAGATGAGGCCTAGGATTGAATATTGAATGTTGAGACTTTGTACAAATCAAATTGATCAAACAGCCATTCAAATTGGATGCCCATCATAGCTGATGGATGAATCATGGTCACACCTTGACTACAATAATGCTAGAATCCTTTCCTGCATTTCTCCTCCATGTCTAATCAACACATTGCTATCCAAAACAAAATAAAAAACTCCCGAGATGTCAGCCAAAAATGGTGCTATGTGTCGCACACACAGAAGCCAGCTTCGTGTGCCAGCCTATGTCAAGTTTCATTCTATTGGACAGTGGCGAGGATTGTGATGATATTTTCTGGAAAGGTGAGTTACAGTGACTCACAAAACCCTTTCAATGTTTGTCAAATTTTGCTTGTATAGAAAATATCTTCTCACTGAGAAAAAATATCAAAGTGCTGTTATATAGATCTGAAAGTGTACTATCTTGGCTCTAATTATCACTCTGGGTTATGTGATTTGGTTTAGAATTGGTAGAGATAGTTGAATTTCAATGGGCACTACTCATTGAAAGGGTTTTGTTGCACGCTATTCTATGAAATGAAAACTTGAAATTTGAGTACTTATTAGAGATTTCTCTTGAACTAAATTACTGTGTAGACCTACCAAGAGATGCTCCAAATTGAATGAGAACAAGTCTTCTTTGATACAACCTCTTATTTCTTCTACATTCTCTATTGCTTTGATATCTCATTTGACAATATTCTCAGTTCTCCAAGCTTTCTTTTCAAATGGTTCCAAGAACTGTTAATGAGATTGATTTTAGAGAACCATATTGAGTATAGAGAAACCTCAAACTCATAACTTTTCAGATAGTTCTTAGCATTTTTTAGAATATTTGTTTTGCTGAAAGTCAATACTCTTAAAATGTTTCTATAATATCTCAGATACTCTCAAAGTTTATCATTGAGTGCATATGTATATAGATTGAAATTGTCAATATTCTCATAATTTATTATATATCTCACTTTCATTTATTGTCTACACCCCTACACACACTCTTCAATTCTAAGAAGTTACTAAGTTACTGAGAAATTGACAGGATTCACAACTTCCATGCATATGTCTTTCATGACTATAAGGATGGTGCCATGTTTGGGCCAAAGGTTTATCATGCATTCAATGTGACTTTTGATTCTCATTTATAGAATTCTCTGCAGAACTGCACCTCAATAGAAATGATGCATCTAGACAAGTCTAGATATAAATACATTCCAGATTCAGAGTGCATAAAATTTCACGTAGGATAGGTGTTTTTGGTGCTCACAGATGGTAGATGGACTATTGCTCACATACTACAGAGGCCAGGAGACAGAATGGGTTATCACTACAACTTTGGCGACAAATGGCGATACTACATTGAACTGAAATCCATCGCTCCAGTAGAAGAGAGTAGTGGTGCAGTTACTGTTCTCGCAGGCTCTGGCACAGACTCTCCAGATGGTGAGAATCTTGGCATTTGAAACTCCAAGTATCTGTTAGAAGACGCTGAGAGAGGGTACCATGGATGAAGTGCGGCCCTCTATCAGCAAAACATTGCATCACTTGAGCCAACTTGAGCTACTTATTTCCTCTTAAATCACTTAAAAATTATATTTGAAATTGTCTTCTTGAATACTAAGGCGGCCAAGTAAAAAAAAGTTTCCTAAGTATGGCTACATCCACTCTGCTATGTATAAGTATCAAAGACTAAGAAAACTATTAGTATACAATCTCATGTGAGTGGTGATCAGTGAATTTATTGATATAGAAAGCACAGAAAGCATCCAGACTATCTGAGAACTGAAGTCCTATGGGTAGGTTCTCCTTACTATAGACAGGAATGAGGTGCACGGCCTGCACAATGGTGTCCAAATGTATGACGGCATGTTCTCCTACTCTCTGATTATTGAACTCTGGCTCGACAATCTATATACCAGTCAAATCATCTGGTGTTTGTCCCACTGGCTCAAACTATTCGACAAGTGTGCAAGAGTACTGAATGCCATCCCTTGAGAATGAAAAAAATAACCGAGCACGAGCAGCATGCAATTCTCGCATGCCATTCTCCTCTGCATCTGTTATAATGAATATACAATCATAACGAGCAGGACCTCATTGTCATAATGAGGTAGCTCGAATGTACTCATGATGCATGCCACCTATTCCAGAAAGATCACTAGGAGCATAGTAGGTTGCAACCGCTGATGAGAAGACCGAGATTTGCTCATCAACATAATATGAGGCTGGAGGCATGATGTCATCGTCAAGAAGTGTATCTGGGTGGAGTTGATCATATAAGAAATGGGCTGCCAGCATTGGCAAGTTGGTGATGTTGTAATGTGCTGCCAAACCTTTCAGTGATTGGGGAAGGTGCCACACTTCAAAGATAGCAGTTAGAAAATTATATCTAAACACTTCTAATAAAGATCAACATACCTCGGCATTGTGCCAGTGAGAGAGATGCCAAAATGCAAGGTCTCTCAACTGCATCCCCCTCATTTTCCTCATTGACACCAACAGCATCGTCTTCATCTAAACATGCATCTGGTGTCATAATCGCTGACTCAGCGATGGCATCTTCACTGTCTTTTTCTACCACCTGGGACACTCCTGCGATGATTGAAGACAGAAGGCTACCCTGAAGCATACCGCTGACTTGGTATGGATGGGAAAGAGTTGAAAAGATATAAAAAAAATTTGAGACTTAGCAAAAACTAAGTTACAATAATTCTATATTTGTAACAAGTAAAAAAATAAAATCAAAATCAAAAGTGAAGGGTGGTATCTAGTCCTATTGGTAAGGGAATATTAGTAACTCTTTCTAACCCGAAATTATACTGGGCACAGTGAATGAACATTAGTCAGACTGGAGGCTCAGTTGTTCGAATTGATGGTAAATTCCACTGAATATTCAGAAGACTCTGCCTTGCTACTCAAATGTCTGAACTTAAACTTAAACTAAAAATGATGTCTTCTACTTAAAGAACTCTATGCTAAACTCTCTCTAATAGACTCTGGTGACTCTGTGTCTGTGGGTATCTCTGAATGCTCTGATGGCTTCTGTAACTTCTGAGTGGGTGCTGACTGACTATGCAACCAATGATGATGTGAATGCTGATAATGACTCTCTGATATTAGAAGATACTTTCTCCAAAGAGTCATAGACTTCTGAAAAGTTGTAGAGTGAAAGTTCTGCTTGACTTGCAGTCTACCGAGCTGCTGGTAAGATCACTGTTGACCTTGTTGATGCACATAAGTGAAAGTTCTGCTTGACTTTCAGGTATAAGTATAAGATATAAACTCTGAACTGTATTACTGAAGTGAGACTATATACTGAGACTGTAGTGGTCTCAGAAAGAGATGTCTGTTCCCCTTCTGCCCTCTAGTGGACAGCTTATATACTAAATTATAATACAAATTTCTATCAAATTTACAGAGAGATTAATAAGCAAGTAGAAAATCTGAGAACATTCTAGGATCTTCTGGTACCTTCTTCAAAGTGCTATAAGCCTCCAGAAGGTTCAACAACCTTCTAGATCATTCTATCATATTCTACTCTATTCTAGTCCTTTCAAAAAGCTTCCAGAATGTTCTACAAGCCTTATAAGCATTCTACAAGGTTCTAAACTAATCTATAAGGTTCCAAACTGTTCTATAATTCTGCATAGCCTTCTTTCTCTCCTGACTATATATGATTTTATCTTTATTTCTTGCATATTGCATAAATGGGCCTTATTTCTTAGGAGACTACTTATTTGTGCTTCTTTACTTGGTGAAATATCTCAAATTTTCATTCAGATAGTAGACTTAGATTCAATCCAAATACACATTTATTTCCACTATCTGCTTTTATAGAATTGACCAACAAAGCTATGTCCTGAATGTGGATGCTCGTATATGAAGCAATCATGCATGGGGACTTGAATGAGCTGGAATGTAGGCTCAATTGTACGTTCTAGTCACGAAGTCTGTCATAAGAACTGAGGAGTAGTATAGGATGATGATGGCTTGCCTGTAATGAAGGCTTCAGGTCTCGAGTAATCGATCCATCCCATAAGGATTAACAATATCCACCACAGTACTCTCCAAAATGACAACAATAGCTGCGAGTGATGTGCAACCACCAGGATCTCGTGTGTTCTATCTTGACTCTCAATCGTCAACACTGCTCTGTCTCTCTGATACACAACTCTTGAAATGCACCCCAAGAACTCCACATTTGCACTTGCTAATATGACGTAGCCATGTGTTGATATTACCATTGGTCCATTGATCGTGTTCTCGGCAATCGAGAAGATGTGTGATTCTGATCAAATTATGACAGGGATAAATGGAACTGTATATGAGTTTACAACTTCTTCGGTGGACATGGCTGTGACAGTGTAAGTGGATTCTTTCAGATATTGCTGAACACATGTATTTTTAAATAAAAATAATTACATCTTTAGCATCATGTCTAATTATTATCCTATTATATATTTTCTTTTATTGAATATCATTACTTGTATTGTGAGTCTTCTTCAAATACAAAGTTACAGGAATCTGTTCTGTCTATGTACCAAACCAATTTGATGCAGGACAGTGG